ACCGTTAATGTACTGTCACGAGCAACAGCCACATATAGTTCATAGTAACCCAACTGTGAAAGTGTTCTAGTGGCCTATTGATGAAGACCAGCTACTTAGGCGCCACCATGCGGGCAGCATGTGAAGTAAAAAAGTGAATAGACAAAAATGTCTGCGTTTAAAATTGTAAATCGACAATACATGTATTTAAAGCTAAAAACACATAATACAACAATAATAACGAAAAGTTAGGCTGTTCTTTATGCTTTTTTACCGATAGTTGTTAAAAGAAGAGTTTTTATGATGGCTAAAGTGAACCATTGTAATTTGACAGTCTCGCTTACTCACAATCATGACAAGTTAACCCGAACATTTCAAAACTTTGTAAACATCTTTCATTTTGATAATATTTGTGTGATTGGTCCAAGCCGGTCGAGAAATTAATAGGTTTTGAATCATGGAACCACAGAACAATAAGTTTCAACAACACTAGAAAAAAGAGCTACCTTGCCACGTTTCATACAAACCAGCCCAATTTAATTCAAATACAACACTATCTAATCTGTGCGTTTATTTAATAATTTAATAACCTCACGAAATAGGCCCTTCCTTATTCACCGTAATCCAGGTTAACAAAGATCATAGCAAAACTGTCCATTTTCTGTATGCCATCTGTTATTTGAGCAGCAGCATTTTTATGACGTGCCCCTCGCTTTTTCTTACCGCACACCTGCACCTGTAAAAATGTTTCTCATCTGCAGTAACCTAATAGCAAATATCTCTCTTTGCATCCATATAGACCGAAAGAAATCGTAAATGCAAACGAATGCCACGTTAAATAACACCCTATGTGACTCCTGCATCGTTGTTCAATTTGGTTTAATATAAAATGTATGAGGTTATGTTTAAAATGCAGTCGTATGCGGCTAGGTCGTGGTGCATTTTCCCTTCGGATCTGCTCGATTTGCATTTTATTGGGTTTGTTTGAAGCATCGGCCATCCACAAGGCATTCCATGTTTTATGTTTCACTTTGGAGTGAAATTGCGTAAATATATTCCTTTCTGGAATTTTCCATTCCGCTGGCGTTTCATATTTTCCCTCGCATACAGACAGGTGCATACATTGTTGTACTCCATGTACAGTATCAATAAAGTAGTGTCGCTTCTGGTTAACACGAACATTGATTGCGATAACAGTGTATATGTTTTGTCACTAGAAATTGTTAGCAACTACCTTTTGGAGTACCTAGCAACAAAGATTGAACAGAGTAAAGTTATTACATGATTGCCCTACCAGTGGCCTCTAGTTGAAACTGAAGTGCGGCTAGTATAACGGAAAAAGCCAGATCAAGGAAGAACAAAAAGAAAGAAACAAAGACGAAAGTTCTTCGAAATTAGCTGATAGCTCACCCTAAAGATGATATCAACAAAGGTTACAGAAAACTCAAGGTATTTCATCTGGAGGTGTTTCAATATGGGACCAAAAGCTTAAGATCTACAATTACAGATGTGATATTTTTACCCGAACATTTTTGGAGAAGTTCTCAAAGGCTGTTGTTTTTATAAAATCTTGAAGATATATCAAAACACAACACCAATCTGGGTTGTTTGAAATATGATTCAAGAGCTGGCAAATAGTTTCAGCTATTCCATCATTTTGAACAAGGAGATTGAACTATTTGAGCACAATTACTTAAAGCATTTAAAACAAAGTTACAGGCTATACCTTCTAAATAAGCTAAAGGAAGTTTTTTAGTCCTCTATAATATCTAGTTTTAATCATATCTGCGACTCGGTGCTTTATATGCTAACAAGTTTATCCTTAACTTCAAATTGGGAAAAAACGAGGGAGTCACTTCGTGTAATAGCAGTTCTTAGGTACTGAGATACTTTATTTTATCATTGCTTTGATGGCATAGCTAAGAACAGACTGCATGTTGCAGATTTGTCATTGGTCTAAGTCGTTTTGATCATGTCTCTAATAAGTTTACTTCTTTGTGCTGGTTGAAAATGGCCTATTTAATGAAGCTTGGTTATCTTATTTTCATCCACAAATTGATGCTTACATCTGAAGGGGGAGGAAATATATCAAATGTCTTTTATGAACGAGTCATAGATTAACAAACTAGGGTTAGTTTTTCGCACAAGATTGATGTCCACCATTAATTTGCGATATTCATTCCTCATTCTTTATTTTTCGTTTTTTTAGGAGTGCAACAATTCATAATTTGTACCATGCTCTACCTTGTCATTATGTCAAAGAACTGTATGTACTTGCATGTATATACTAAAGACGAATTTATTATTATTTTTATGATTTATTTATCTTTTAATACACTTCCATTGTGGTATGTAGTTCATTAACTTTGCTACCTCGTATCTTTTCCACCAGCGCCACTATATTGGGAAAACTGGCACCAAAAATAGTTTTTTCAAAATACCACCGCTCCAAGCCTTTAGACGGTGAAAATATTTGACAAATAAGACGTTTCCTGCAATAAATTTACTATAACAAGAATAGGGGAACCTACTCATCGATTTTTTAGGGAAGGTAACGAAAAGTTGATATTCTGTGGATATATAATACACATTTTCTGAGTTCTTACGTAGCTACCTTGCATCTTTGTTACTGATGCATTATCCACGTCGTATATGGTTAACGATATCTTTATTTCAAGCCTTTCGTCGCGGAAAATATCTCTACGATAAACTGAAATAAAGCTACTGTGGTATCTTCGTAATCAGGTTTCCACCTTAGCTACTGCTTTATTATAAAGAAGAATCTGTGAGGACCGGTGTATACTTAGTCATCATTACTTCTATATTTACAAGAATGAAGCCGTCGTTTCCTGTTTGCATTTCCATTTTGTCGTAGTAAGGCGTTATTTTATGTTGCTTTGTGGAAAAACCTCCCTTTCAGAGTTTTTCTTAATTGTACTCACAGGAGGCAGTCTTTGCAGACACAGTTTTAATGACGAAGAAATGAAAATGCTCCATTTTGTTTGATACAATACTGCAAATACGCCGCAGTATTATTTAGAAAAGATATAGTTGAATCTATCTGCTCATTTCATGGTATTTTTGTACTTCGAAAACACTGGTAAAACTTTGTGCGTGACTCATAAGGGAGACTGAAAAAGAACGGGTTGCCATTGTCATGGTTTTAAAAAATACATCTTTGATGTTAAATATTTTTTTGATACGGCACAGTTGCAGAAAATTGTTGGGTCGTTCAAAAAACTGAAGTCTTTGGTAGTAGCGATATAATTCATACAGGGCTGCGTTTGCGAATTGTTACAGGGTGTATTTTGTGATACCCTGTAATAATTTCAGCATTCGTAAGTGTTTGACGTACTTGTTCCATGCTTTCGGAAATAGAACAAAGTAAGCCTTCTAGATTGACAAAAGTGCACTTTTCTTCCGTGCTCAAAACCTTGGGTAAGAGTATTTTCATTCTTATGGTTCATTGTTTGTTTATCGCAGAGAGCTCACAGTTGACAGAATTTATTTTTCACGATAACAGAATTTGAGGTAAAGAAATTGAACTTGAATCCATCCCCGAGTCAAAGCTACCCAAATGACGGGTGAAAATTGAGTTTCAAGTGATTGATGCTAAATCGTTGTATTGTTGGACGCATATTTCAGCAGTCAGATGATGCCTAGAGCTCGATGGTCCTGACAAGACTAGGGTTGGGCCATATATTAGCGAAATAGCGTATAGTAGGTCTCGAAACACAGCACATCTGGGACCCGAAAACGAATTTTCTCCGAATTTAGGGGTAGTTTTGGATCCCGGGGTGAATTCCAGCGTTTCCAAAATTTCGTTGACCCCAAATTCAGCGTCGAAAAATTCATGAGAACACCATTCACCCGGATCTGGCATCCAAAACTTAATTTTTACTCCTCCTATAGATAGTTTTTAGCCTAGGATTTCTAGGAACTTTTCTGGTACCAAATTTAGATTGAGTGTCGAAAAATACATAGGTATCAGACACAAATATCTCTAGGCGGGTCCACGGTTGGAGTATTTTGTGGTTGTATTTACGGGGCAAGGATGTTTCATTACTTTGCGAGTTTGAACTGAAATCAGTCATCTGCCAAACGTCCAGACAGGCATCTGCCAGGGCCGTCTTGCAGCTGCAACTGATTGCAAGCAATTGTGCTGCAGACTGTGAAACTGTTGATAGCATTACACTACGCTGAGTTCCTGCATCTTGAGGCGGTGATGACCTCCAGATTTGTCGATTAAGTGTAGCATAAGCGATATATTTCATACATTTGGAAGCTTCCCTGTTTGCCAAGATTTCACATGAATCTAGAATGTAAACACTGATTTCTGATAGATTAACCATACATTTGAGTTGTTTTTTCTTATAGTCGACTGAAAATCAACTAAATCTTGATAAGGTAAATTATTACAACGTTTTTCTTATTTAGAATACTAATTTTATAGCAGTTTAAAAAATAACGAATTTTATTTTTATAACAAAATTTATATAATAATTTTCTGCTTGTGCTTGTGCTTGTGAGTTGGTATCTCTTATAGCGCCAGAGATCCAACTTTGGTTACTTGCTATTTGTTTTTCTAGTGCTTGGAACTAGGTGGCGCCCAAACCACAACGATGACAGGGTTGTCCGATGACTTCTTGAACTGAAGGCTTCTAGAAGGCAGTTTTAGCTGGTTTTCTCACCTTCTTCCATTATGATAAAACCTGATCTTTGGAGGATCTTGAGTGAGACTAGTTTTTTTGTATAACTATCACATTTAACTGTCTCCATTATTATCTTCGAATGCTGAAATTGTGATGAAATTTGGCCTTCGCCGACTATACTGTAACCTTTTATCCGAGAAAATAAATATCCCCCACTAAAACCATTCTGGCACTCCCGAAATGACCATTTCCCTAAACATTTCCGTCGAACGATTTTCACGTGGGCACCATATTCTCTTACCAATCGAAAGATTGCTTATGTATTTTCATGAGCTCATGCATTATGTATAGCTATTTACTTTTTTTTTTCAGGCAACCCGCGGAACAAATGTGCCCTCCAGCCCGGCCATTCTCTCATGGACTGGATCCGGTTGGGGAACTCCGGAAAGGACCTCACTGGGGTGGGAGATAGGGCTGGTCGGATGACGGTAAGTTGATATATTGTGATACGGACTCGATAATATGGATTTTCGGTTGAGCCGTTACCACTGAGAGTACAAGGCCAAACAACTGGGCTGTGAAAAGCCTGTGACGTCACGCAGAGTAGGCCTATGCATGTTCTTATGGAGTTTCGCGATGCTGGCTGGCAAGACAGCAGCTCCACCATTTCTCTGCGGTGTTGTCATATCTAGATTTGATATAGCAGTATCGAAATCTCTACTAATTAGTTGTACCTCTCTGTAGGCGAATTTGCAAGATGTACTCGGAGCCTGTGCAGCTTCAGTGATGATGTGATTATTCTTTCTGATATGCTTCAGTATGTCAAGAATACATTTTCGATATTACGTTCAATCTGTCACTTGCGAAGTCTAATAATTGGGATATGTGGCAACCTTGGTAATACCGCTAACATCCAACAACCAACTAACCTCAAATTCTGAGCCTCTCTTATGTATCTTTCTGTGCTATGTAAACTGTAAATTATTGATGTTTTAAACTTATATTTGCGTCTCGCGATTATCCAGCTAAGTTTTCAAAATGCCTTACAAGTGTTGCGTTCCTAATTGTGCCGGTAATTACGTGAAGGGTCCGAAGGTACACGTATTTTCGTTTCCATTGAATGAAAACTGTCGTAAAAGATGGCTCAATGCAATCCCTCGTAGTGATTTAGTGGTCACAAAAAATACCAGAGTATGCAATTTGCACTTTGCTGAGGACAGCATCATTTGGGAATCCACCTTCCATGACGAAAAGAGAGGTAGGACCATTACTGTAACCCTTAAGTGTCCAAAGTTGAAGGCAGATGTAATTCCAAGTATCTTTACAAATTTTCCATATCTTTCAAAGGACATATCAAGCAGAAGAAGCCGAGATGAGAAATTGAGGGACAAGGAACAAGAACAACTACTTAAGGCTCTGCAAAGTAGCATTGATGATTATTCCTCCTATCCAAAATCAAGTTTTCAAAATTATTCAGACTTTCTCACAGTTTTCAGTTCATGGCAATGTCCATCTGGGTGGCATAAAATTGTTCAGGATAAAGTTACTTTGTTTAAGTTAGAATATAAACCTGCATCCACCATAACTCACTTTGTAATTGTTGATAAAGATCTCAATGTAAAAACGTATATGTACTCCCAAGAATTGTTCTCAACTCAGGTAATATTAAAACTCCATTTGTATTATCTAATATATACCACTTGGATGATGTTCTGAATGTTCTTTCTGAGAATGTAGATGCTTCGAGGGAATATTCAGGTAAAGACTAGTTCAGAGCCACTATCAACCATGCTTACAATATTTTAAATAGCACAGAACTGTTCACCGATGAAGAGACCCACACTGTCATTCAATTTATTTGTGAGCAACTAAAGCTTGTTATTAGTCAGAAGAACAGACACAGTTAGTCATCAGAAACAATATTGTTTTGCTCTATGTTGTATCAGTCCACAATCATATAGATTTATTAGGAGCCATGGAGCACTTATTTTAGAACACAAAAATACTCTGATGTCAATTTGTAATACATTGATGGTCGATCCAGTTCCCGATGAGAGATATAACTTTTTAGGCTATGCAAAGAACACAACTGTTCAACAAGCACTACATTTTTTATATAATTTTCAAGTACCATTTTATTATGCCTATAATCGGTTGTGACTGACACGTTGAAGAATTTATCATTTTTAGCAAGCTTAATAACATCAACTTATAACTCTAATGTGCACGTAATGTTGGATGAAATATCGGTGAAAATCAGGGTGAAAATAGTTAATAACTACTTTTGTGTTTTCCACCAAGTTGCCTTCGTATACTAAAAACACTTTTTTGAATTATCCGTTATTTACATCAGCTAGAGTATATTAAATATGCTGCAATAATAATATATTATTCACTAGCGCTGATGTACGGCACGCCGTGCTGTCGGCCGGCCGACCGGCCTACTCGTGGTGACGTCACGCATCTGCTGTTAGGCCTTGTACTCTCGGTGGTAACGGTTGAGCACATTTCAGTACTGTAAGCGATATGTACATTTTTGTTCTTCGTATTCTATAAAGCCAGATTAATACCTGCTAAAAACGTATTTTTCAAAATATGTTTAAATGAAATATCTGTGTGCGGATAAGAGTTAGCGAGGCAGAAATTACCGAAAACACTAATAAAAATATTTATTTCTAAAGCAAACGAAAAAGAAGACAGCAAGCATACTGCAGACATATAGCAAATATTTTATATACAGATTTAAAGTGAGATCACGCTATGAAAAGCGGTAGGTTAGAACGATGTTTGGGAATTATTAGAAGGTTGAATTCGGGGCACATTTCTGTAATTAATTTTTACGGTGCAGTAGAACCCCGATTATCCGAATCGCGATTATCCGAAATTCGCTTTATCCGAAACAGATAACATACAATAATTTCTCCGTTTTAACCGAAGATATTCGGAAAATCGGCGTATGATCCGAAATAGCCGCCGGTATTTCCCCTTTCGGCGTTTGCGTCATTAGATTCGCTGCCGGTGATTCACCAATCGCGTTTGCGAAATTCACTGGTATGTGTGCGTGTATGTTTGTTTCAGTCAGGTTCATAAGATGAAGCAGCATAGAAATAAACCTAAACGCGTTTAGATAGAGATGATTCGCTTAAAAACGTGGCAAGTGATTTGGGTGTGGGCGTGAGTACCATTTCAGAGTGGAAAAAACAACGTGAGAAAATTAAAAAGTGGTCTAGTGTTCTGACATCATCGCAACCGTCACGGAAAACTATGAAAAAGGGGTAATATCAAAAAGTGGATGATGCTTTATATCTGTGGTTTACGCAGAATCGAGAACGTGGAATACCAATTTCCGGACCAATTCTAAAGCAAAAAGCAGTCAACTTAAGTGAAGAATTGCCAGTTATTGAGGCGCCTGATAACTTTACAGCCAGTGATGGTTGGCTGCATAGATGGAAAGAACGACACGGTATGCGAGAATTAAAAATTTGCGGAGAAAAGTTATCTGCCGATAAGTCCGCTGCATTAAAATTTGGAGGACATTTTTAATTATTAATGAAGCAGTATGGTTTAAATCCAGAACAAATTGACAACTGTGACGAAACGGGCATAAAATATAAAATGTTACCGGCGAAAAATTTTGCTTCAAAACAAGAATCTGGAGCTCCTGGTTACAAACGCAATGAAAAATGTGTGAAAATCTTTGCTTGTAGCAATGCTTCCGGTACACACAAACTTCCTTTGTTATTAATAGGAAAATCAGCTAAACTAAGAGCATTTAAACACGTCCGTCCCAGCGCTCTTCCAGTGTGGTATAAAAATCCAAAAAATGACTGGTTGGATGCCGCTCTATTTAAGGACTGGTTTTACAAGCATTTCATATTTGAATGAACGCGGTTATCCGAGAAAATGTATTTTGCTATTAGACACTGCTCCCAGCCACCCAAGTGAGGAGCAACTTAAAAGTGGAGAGATACGGGTGGTGTTTTTGCCTCCTAATGTAACGTCACTCATCCAGCCAATGGATCAAGAAGTTTTAGAAAATTTAAAACGCCACACAGACGTTTATTATTAGATCAAATTGTAGATTAAGTTGATAATGGTTGTAACCTCGTTGATTGTTTAAAAGAGATTAACCTCAGGAATGTGTCATATTGGATAGCAGAAGCATGGAGCCAAGTAAAAAATTCTACTGTACAAAAATCTTGGTCGACAATAATTAAGCAAGAAATAGAACCTTAAAAATCTTACCCAAGCAGATGTTGGTGAGTGGATTAATGGTGATGAATTGTTGGAAGAATTAACTGATACGGAACTAATAAAAACTGTTTGTAACAATGACGATGAGACAGTTTTAAGTGATGCTAGTGACAATGAGACAGAAATCTCTGCCAAAATATCACATTCTGAAGGATTAGAAGCTCTACAAAAGGCGTTGACTTACGTCGAACGACAAGAAAATGCGACAGCAGCTAATGTGCTACTTATCAAACGTTGGAGGGATATTGCTGCCAAAAATAGGAACAATAAAAAAAGTGTACTCGTAAATATGTATGTTTGTATCCACATGTTTGTATATATATTTTACGTAACTTTATATAGGTAACATATATGCTCACTTAACACACGCACTTACTTTTTTCAATAAAAGCGTTATGAGTCTAAATATTTATTTCCGTTTTATCCGAAATTTCGATTATCCGGAAGCACGTGGGTCCATATTATTTTGGATAATCGGGGTTTTACTGTACCTGTTACGAATCTGGAACGTCTAACACAAGTCGTCACTTTGCCTAAAGTTTGACATACTGCGAAGTACACAAAATTTGTGCTTCGCGGTTCCATGCTAATTCTTATGAAGAAGTGATCCATGGGGACACTTGATTGAAGCAGAAACATAACATTCAAGTTTGACATAACCTTGACTTCGGGGTCAAGGTCACATTCGGTTGTAAAATTTCTTATTTTTTCCAGTATAAAAATCAGAGGCTTATTTTGGAAAAATTGACTTGACCTCGAAGGGTATGGTTATGGTCATGTCCACGTCATGGACATAGTTATGGCCAAGGTCATGGTCAAAGTAATAGCCAAGGTCGTGATCAAGGTCGCATTTGAGTGATTCCCACAAATCGCACTACTGCACTGTTAAACATTTTTGCTAGAGCAAATAGTTTGCGATGTCTTGATTTGACCTTGAAATAACCATTTCTAGTGCCATGCTAATTCTTATGAAGAAGTGATCCATGGGGACACTTGATTGAAGCAGAAACATAACATTCAAGTTTGACATAACCTTGACTTCGGGGTCAAGGTCACATTCGGTTGTAAAATTTCTTATTTTTTCCAGTATAAAAATCAGAGGCTTATTTTGGAAAAATTGACTTGACCTCGAAGGGTATGGTTATGGTCATTGTCCACGTCATGGACATAGTTATGGCCAAGGTCATGGTCAAAGTAATAGCCAAGGTCGTGATCAAGGTCGCATTTGAGTGATTCCCACAAATCGCACTACTGCACTGTTAAACATTTTTGCTAGAGCAAATAGTTTGCGATGTCTTGATTTGACCTTGAAATAACCATTAAGGCAATAGTCAAGGACATGACCAAGGTGATGTTGAGATGCAGAATTTGCATCCCTGATGTGAAAAAGGTGGCTTCGATTTAAATATATTCATTTGATCTTGAACGTCGTAGACAAGGTCATTGAGGTCACGAACATTTTGCTACCTCGAAACCCTCCAACTTTTATTTGAAACGTGTTTTCTACAATGCGCAGTTTACGAAATATCTAGGTGGAGAGATGAAAATGGGACACCGTGTAGATAGAACGGTGGTGCGTTTTTCTCCGCATTGGACGGAAATATTTTATGACTAGTATAACGACATGAAATACTACTGCTAGGCAAAATTTCATTCAAATCCGTTTCCCCAAGATCGTGCCTCTTTCCCCTCCTTGTCAGTTTTTCCCAACAGCTGGTTTGATATGTGGCTAGTAATGCTAGTATGGGACTAAATACACCTAAGACTTAATATCTTGTGTAGAGTATTCATCTCAAAACGAGCAATAATTGGCGACTTTCACCTTGATAAATCTTCTTCCAGCAAATAGACCTATTTGCCCATGTATTACATATTGCTAAGTATCTGAGAATCAAAATGCCCCTTTGCGCAATTAGAACAAATTAACAAGGAAAACCAAGCAATGATCCAAAGTTTTTCTGTTTGTTTCATGAACCTGACTAGAGCGTTCCCTAAACCTCTATAGTCGCCCTTAAAAGAGTCCAGAACCATCTCTAAAAATTTTGTCCCCATGTACAAGAATTTTTCTTTTAGCTGCTTTCTACCAGGCCGTTTTATGCTTACAGCCGCACACTTGTTCTAGGTTGATGTTTGGGTTTTTGATGCACGGAGCACACATTTGCTGCCCTTTGAGCATCAGCCTTTTGGTTGGAGCTTCAAAGCCATGAAATGTCAAAAATGTGTCAATTTGTTATAAATATGTAAATACATGTTCGTTTAGTAGCTTGCTTTTTTCAGCGTGTGTAATTTAGGCAATACCGATTATTGAAAGGCATTGAAAAACAGAAATATTTTGGCCTATAAAATCTAATAAATATAAAATAAAATTTTGTTAAGAACGAATCAAATCATTATTCAAACCCTCAGATGAAAAAATACCAATGAAAACGAAGGAAAATTGACGGCGAGATGAATACTGATAAATGATAGTTTAAAAAACTAAAAAAACACACTTTTATAGCTAACCGAACTAAAAAGTAGAAAATTAGTTTTAATTACAAACAGTTTATATTACAATGGAAGCTAGTCAATCATAATTAATGACCTCAAAATAAAATTATAATTAAATTTAAGTTATTAGCAGAACAATTTAATTCAGAGCGGGGGGCGTGGGCTGCTTGATATACTAAATTTTACAGTCATTCTATTGTCAACTATCTATGAGAGGAGAGTTATGAAAATGTAGTAAAATGCACCACACAGCAGCAGAGCAGTAAACAGTCGCGAGCCTAGATAAATGACTGCATGGTCGACTATACAACCTTGCAACTTGCGCAATAAACAAGGTGAGAATGCAGTACCTTGAAAATGTATCTGCCTCCGTTGTGCTGCGCCGAGTGCCCAAACCAACAAAGAGTAAGTCTGAAACTGCACGCATGCGCAGATCGCGCGCTAGCTCTATTTCGCTTACCCCCCTACAAAGGATCCATAAAATAGTTCATCAATCCTGGCGGTCCTAATAAGAATAATGAAAAACTGTTATCAAATTGTTGCATTGTCACCGGTCCAGTTGCGTTTCTGGCTTGAAAGCAGCTCTTGAAAGCGATCACTGTAGAGAATATGAAGCATGTGTTTTCGATCACGAAAGATATAGAGTGTGCGTTTTGTTTCAGGTCACAAAAGCAGAGTTAGCTAGGCATAACACGATAGACGATGTTTGGATATCAGTCAGGGGACGTGTGTACAATATAACAGCTTATATACCTTTCCATCCAGGAGGACCAGAGGAACTTATGAAGGGCGCTGGGATCGACGCTACAAAACTGTTTGAACAGGTTTGTATAAAACGGCGTCGAGTAGATTGACCCTGCATTCTTTTGCAACGCAGTCATCAGTTTATTTGGTCATGAAAATTGACCAAAAATTATTTAAAATCGTTAATATCGGTCTTCATGACAGTTAGTGCCGAGCACCTTTTTTTAGATGCAAAATGTATTTAAAAATCCGGTTGTTAAATGGAGATATAAAAGAAAAATCCAGAATTGGGAAGAGGGAAATGATTAATATTGTGAAATAAAAACTCAATAAAACTGTTAACCGACCGTGAATCTGACTAAAACAATTCAAGACTCTACTCATAAATGAAAACAGATTTCGTTCTTTTATTTTAAGGAAAGTACGTGGCGTGCAACTGATTTATTTTTGGAAACTTTACCACCGTGTATCACAAAATTTAAGACGTTCATAAGAAGTCTTCTTTTTCAAATGGATCAAAAAATTAAACGTTGTCATTCAGTTAGTAAACACCCTGAAGTTGTAAAGTTATATATGGCGAGGACGATATCGTCAGACAGTTGCCTGGTTGTCAAAGACCTTCTAAGGCGTAACTTAGTTTCAGTCATGAAGGAAACTTTGGAACGCGCGCTAGAATGTCATTTGACACCTTATTCTGCTATTACATCCTGTGCCGTATATTCTATCTTGCACGGCGAAACAAGGTGCCCTAACTTTCACTTTAGCTTTGTGATAAAATTTAAAGGCAGGGTCGTGGTCTTCATTCGATAAAAGTACATCGGCACATGAAGGAATAACGTTAGCTGCATCACACCACAACGGAAGCTGTGTTTGTATTGTGTAAGGGTATATTGTATGCATATAAAACAAAAAAAAATAATGTAACATCTGAAACTTATCCTGTGGTTTTCGTGTCATGTGTTTGTCTGGCCAATGAAACCAAGTTTTTAAAATTCTTCTTCAATGTATACGTTTCGGTCACAGTGGCGACCTTTTTCAGTACATGACATTTTTGTACATCATAAAACATATTCTTGTTGGTTTCACCAGGAACACATTATACAGGGTGTTTGCGAAAGGTTGGGAAATCTCGAAACTGCAGATACTACAGACCGAAATACGTGAATTGACCTAAACATACCTTTCTCCAAAAGTTGATAGTTTGCGAGATACAGGGTGTCAAAGTTACATTTTTATTTTCTATTTTTCCTTATTGCTTGAGAAGTATTCAGATTTTGGCATAAAACTCAATATAGGCAGGTTTTCTAGTATGAGAAACAGGAATCCGTTATTTTTTATGTCCAAACTTCTAGAGGGTGTCACTTTCACCACTATTTCGGTAAATAACTAATCATAACTTTTTTCTGCTACCCTGTATACAACAACTGACTAAAACATCTTATTTTCTCGTATTTCCACAACACAAAAGGTTCACTTGTTAGAAGTGCTTAACAACTTATTGTTAACTTCAAATTATTCATGAAGTTTAAACCAATATCATGACAAACATTAGAAACCATAGCAACGCTGCTCAGATATTATCCAAAGCAACTTGATTATTATGTTATAATAATGTTTTATCATCATGGTACAAATAATGCATTGAAACTTTTACAAACAAATACCCCGAAAACTATTAGCTTAAGACACTTCTAACAAGTAAACCTTTTTTGTTGTGGAAATACGAGAAAATAAGATTTTTCGGTCAGTTGTATACAGGCTGGCACAAAAAAGTTATGATAAGTTATTTATCGAAATAGTGCTGTAAGTGGCGCCCTCTAGAAGTTTGGCCGTAAAAAATAACGGACTTTCATACTAAAAACCTCCCTATACCGAGCTTTATGCTAAAATCTGAAATAAGGAAATATAGAAAGTAAAATTGTAACTTTGACACCCACCCTGTATCTCGCAAACTATCAACTTTTGAACTAAGGTTTGTTTAGGTCAATTCTCATATGTTGGTCTGTAATATCTCCAGTTTCGAGATTTCCAAACCTTTTCCAGACACCCTGTATGTCACATAGGTCATAAAGGTACACGAAGGAGATCAACAATCTAAAAAGTAACTACATTTCAAGCTGGCTTGATATCACATACTCCATAATATCTTTAAATGAACACTAAGATATAATCAGCAGAAAATAAACCTTTTTTTGTACCGACTGCGACTGTCAGTCTTTGTATTATAAATGTAAACTTGTATGCCATAAATATTTGGAATAGAAACACATTACGTATATGGTACAGAATAAACACTTCTTGTACGAGTGGTACCGTGGTCTCTATTTTACTAACAACATCATCACAATAATGAGCTAAGAGGAAGGATCTCTTTGTTTAAAAACTCCCCGCTATTGGTCTGATTCAATTGTACCATTATAAAATACCTATAAGTATCTTTATCACCATTTTAGTGAAACAACAAACAAAACAAATGTCCCTTATTTCGTGTTATTAGTTTTGCAATATAGAAATGCCTAATGTTGTGAATATGAGTAGACGATGTTTATTGACCATATATTATCATGCATTGAATAACTATAGCAAAATAGTATGAAGAAACATTTGATTGACTTTTACAAAAAAAATGGTAGTAGCAACGATAAAAACCTCATAACACATAACTCTGACAAACTATCTTCCAAGAAACATCAAGCAGGTATCTAGGCCTCCACTATATTTTATTTTGAAACTATATAATTGTACCTCGGTTCTTCATGAATATAAAAATACACAAGAGTAATTATTTGTGGAAAATTGAAGCTAAAACTCGAAAAATTGCGCATACTATTTTTATTTGAAAAAATAATGCCACCAATCTTCTGTATCTCCGCCACTGGTGCACGATAATTTTAAGTAAGGACTTTTGAATATGGATAATACTTAGGTAAATCCACATGCCAAATTTTAGTTCATTCCAGTCGACGGTTTTGAAGATATTAAAGAAATTGTTTTTTATTTTTAAACTTCAATATCCCGTATCTTTTTAGAAAAAAATGCGGTCCTGTGTATGATGTTTCATCTTTGGTCGCGACTTGTGAATCACCCTGTATATACCAACATACTCGAATTTTCGTTATCTTATGAAAACCACCCTCAGTTTACACTTTAGTTGAAAAAAAATGTTCGATAAAGAGTATATCGAAAATTAGCTCAAAAGAAATACTTTTTTCGTTAGATGTAACATACATTTTATGTTTTCTTAAATACTATTTACAGCAGTAAAAATATCAATGAAATAGTCGAATTATAAAAGAAATTTAGGGACAATTAACTGAACCTAAGGGTCGACTGCCAGTTACAAAAATCGCCCAATATTCAAGTTAATGGATACAAATTTTAATTTTGATTTTTGAGACAGCTTAAATGATACGGAAACTCGAAAATAGAGCTTAATAAAATACATCACGTTTTTCTTATTTTGGCACTTCAAACAAAAACTAACGAAGTTATGGACTATCTTGGTGGCTAGGTCTTTATCAAAAGTGAACACTTCATTTTGACAAAGAACACGTCATCATCTCGCACTCAACTCGTCATTTAAAAAGTTACTATCTCACTTATTTTTAGGTGCACCCGTGGGTAAACTACGACCAAATCCTACAGAAATGCTACATCGGTAGACTGGTAGCTGTAGATCCGACTACTGATACAGTAGCGCTGTTGTTCGGAGAGCAGGATAATGCTAGAAAGCCAACGAATATCACACGATTAAAAGAACCCAGAGAGAATTCTATAGAGAAACCAGGTTGTCCGAAGAATAAAGAAAATAACGGTAAAAGTAAGAGCGATAGTTGGAAAGAATCAAGCAGCAACGGGCTGAATCGGTCGTTCTTCAAAGAAGAAGGTAAGCTTTCTAGGCTTAGCCTCTGAACTATATATTTTTACTTTAAAGGTAGCGATTAAAAGTAGCGAACGATGCGATACGCGGCTAAACCCGGGCTTTATCGAATTTTTATTGCTATAAAAAAGTTTTCAACAACTGTTGGAACATACTTTGCTTTACCTTGAAATTCTCAGTTTTTCTAATATCTCTTAATCTTTAAAAAAGTTATTGTTTTGACTAAAAAATGCTACCGCAAAACATTTAAATGCTATTTTAAAGCTAAAGTTTTTAGTTCTGTGACTAACAAGTCCGTGGGAAGTGTATAGAGGTACGACAAGCAGTGTACAAAGCCGGTTCATTAGAGATACGACAATCTAGATAGTTTTTCGGCGTTAAGGTGGCACCTCCCTTTTTTAGATTTCTTTTCAACTTCCTGTTTTGCAGCCGTATTCTAGATCCTTTAATATAATTTAATGGTGTGTATTCAGATGACTAAAAACGTTTTAATTTTTTTTTCAAAATTTTTTGTGCATTTTATTGTGCATGCTTTCTTCAATCGGAACCTGTTAACGAATACAAGTCCAGCTCTGAAATTGTGTGTGAAACTTCCTCTTTTACGGAAGAATAAAACGAGTGATTACTTTTGTTCTTATCACTTTTCCTTTTAAAAAAAATCTTCGATTTTTTTGAGGCGTCGTCTCGCAGCAAGTTGAGTTTTCAATTAAAATCTAAGATTTTCCGAAAAGTAATAAGAATAAAAGTAATCACTCGTGTTATTCTTCCATAAAAGAGGAATTTTCGCACACAATGTCAGAGCTATACTTATATGTGTTAACAAGTTCCGTTTGAAGAACAATTCACAATAAAATGAACAAAAAATGCATTTTTTGACAAAAAAATTGAAACATTGTTTTTTAGTCATCTTATACACACCATGAAATTATCAGATGAAAAGGATTTAGAATACTGCTGCAAACAGGAAGTTGAAAAAAATCTATAAAAAGTAGCTTGCCATCTTAATATGCTAGGATTAAATGCTTAGCTGTAACATAAACATCGAGGAAGAAAATATATAATTATGCATTTTTATGGGTAATATCTGTCTGATTGTCCTAGAATATCTTCCACTTTGTCATTTTATGACCTGCTATGATAACTGCGATATCATTTCGAAATAGAAATAATTCAAGATACACGCTTACTGTGGAGAGGAAAAGAAATTCGCGCCACGCTAACATGCCATTGACAATATTTGACAATGAACTCAAAAAGAGACAACTTGACATTGTCAAGCATTGTTGCTTCACACTGTCGGGCGAGTAATTCGCTTCTGTTCCCCTCAGTGGGCGTGCACCTTTACCTAGATTACCCGGGTCAGATCTATGACGGCATTGGCATGTTGCTCTTGGCAAAGAATGACCTGATAGAAGCATAATGAAGCGTTAAAAACCACATTCCAAATTACATTTCGGCAACTCTACCGTATGCTATAAAGAAGCTCAAAATTAAGTGCTGCTATATAAGATGGTTAACACACGCGCATGCAGAGTGGTGTTTTCTCGCCAAAACGCATATGCGTAGACATATCCTTGTTTACTATCTCTAACGTTTAATGGCAGAGACCCTTCACAGAGATCTTGACATCCAAGGGACTACATCAAAAATCAGGCGCAGCTACGTAGACTAGAGTCGAGCAAGGCAAGATTTTAGGTCTAAATAAAACTCTAATTTTTTACAAATACAAATTGCCTAATTAATCTTTAGATCAATTTAAAGTTCCTGAATGCTAGTTAACAATACCAAAGCACTTCTTTCTCCTGGCTTTGTCTGGTATCTGGGTAAACAAACCTGACACACCAACTGACTAACGATTCTTCAACCAAGAGCGTAATTATATAGTACAAACCGCTCTTATGAACAATAACTAATAGAAGGCAAGGCGATGTCGAAATTAATTTCAACAGTCGAATTCAATTAGAATCAGACTCCAGGTTATTAAGTTTTATGAAGCCAAATAGACCACTATGTTCGATAATTTCTCTTTATACCTTCAGTATAAGCAGCTTTGCATTAACCAACACTTGCAGATGGTACTTCAATGTATACAATATGATTTTTTTTTTTCATAAATACAATCAGAAGGACAATCTCCTCCGTCCAAAGTGGATCCAGCTGGACATGGATCGACATCTTCCTCGACAACAGATTTGACGGAAACATCACAATTAGGAGCTGCTGGAGCAACGTCTGTGGAAGAGGACATCAGGGAGGGATCTACAAGTTTCCCTAGGTTCGACTGGATACAGAGACTAGGGTATGCAATTAAAATCATCCCTCTGAGTTCCTTGAAAAATAACTAGTATTAGACTTTATATGTAACACATTGCAATGTGTCCTAACCAAGGTTCTACCGCTTTGCCATTATTCTGTTAAAATATACTTAAAAAACAACGCATCATCATAAATAAGTAACTAATATTGTGAAATAAACAAGCCGTTACTTTCCCCCTATAGGGTAACAGTCCGTCAAATATAGCGAATGAGCTTTAATACCCATTCAACAAATTTTAGCAAGCAATAGCTGTAAAAATTGGAAACAAAACAGTCAAAGTATGAGATGACAGCTTGTCATTGAAATATCACCAGCTTATTGAATGTTGAGAAATTACATATAATTCAGTCAACATTTAAAAAAAATTTTTGATTTTTGAATAAAATTCAGGTTTTTTTACTATTGTTGATTGTTTATTCATGTTTATGTCATTTTCTTCAATTGACATGCGACTTACCGTGTATTTTCCCATAAACATCTTGCAGATAGCCGTTTCCAAATATTCATTCATTTTATGGCATATATTTTTCAGAAATATTTAAGAAATACTACATTGTAATAACCGTAATGTTTCAAAATCCTTGCAAAATATTTCTGAAAGGTATATTATATATATATATATATATATATATATATATATGTATTATATATATGTATTATATATATATATATATATATGTATTATATATATATATATATGTATTATATATATGTATATACATATATACAGGGTGGCCCATCCATGTGTGGACGGAATATTACTCATAAACAAATACATTTTGGGAAAATCTATTTATGGGATGTTATACATGACATTTGAGGGCACATTTCCAAAATATTGACCATTATACAGGGTCCTCCAATTTCGACCTACATAACAAAGTTGTGATTTTTCAAATGGAATGCCAAGAAAATTGATACATACTATGGGGTTTTGGTAATTAGCTACTGAGATATAAGGTGTTTTGTCTAGAAAAACCCCCCACTTCGGCAACCTCTCAGTCCGCCATTTTGAAATTTGGAGTGCTGAATTTTGTATCAAAAAAAACTTACACACCTCAGCTTTTATTTTATTTGTTACTTATTCGAATTTTAATTTTTGCTCATACAGGGTGGTCAAAAACGCAAATTGTAGTTTTTCTCAAAACTTTCAAATGAATCACCCTGTATATTTGTGCAAGTTTGGATTCAATCTTTCATAAGCTTTTTTTGATACTAGACACATGAGGGTTTTTACGGCAATTTTTTCGGTTATTAGCACGCCTTTTATGGAACGGCTTAATTCCTTGAAATATGGCTTCATCCTTGGAAGCAAATAAATTGTTGATTAGTTACAAACTGACAAAATTAGCTTTGTGAGCATTATAATAAAGACATGTTTGAAAATGAATTTTTCTAAAGAAGAGATGGTGAATATGGTGTTCATTTTGGGCAAATCCCAAAGAAATAGTTTCCTAGCATCTCGCATTTATAAGCAACGGTACCCTAATATGCGACATCCAAGGCCGGAAACATTTTCCACACTACGAGAACGTTTTGAATCAAGTGGAGCAGTGGAATATAGTAAAAAGTGTACAATTAATCAAAGTGTCACTAATGAGGTTAATCAGTTGCAGGAAGTGTACGGCATATTGGAACAGAAACTGATATATGCAGAACTTATGTCCAAAAAATTATTCACAGGCATAGGTACCATCCATATCACTCATGCTTGCATCAAGGCTTTCGTCCTCAGGATTTCGCAGCTCGATTTGAGTTTAGTAATAATATAATGTTAAATAAAGTGACTTTCATGGAAAAGGTTCTTTTTAGCGATGAGGCAACTTTTAACACCATAGGTGTTGTCAGCAGGCATAACATGCACTATTATGCGACGGAAAATCCTTACTGGGTTAGGCAAATAGATTCCCAAAATAAATCGAGCTTGAATGTTCGAGGAGGAGTTATTGGCAGACAAGTTATCCAGCTTTTCTTTTTCTACAACAGATTACCAGGTGCAGAATACTTGAATTTTTTGATCGAGCATTTGCCTCTACATTTGAAGGATGTCAACCTACAAACTCGGATGCATATGTACTTCCAACATGACGGCGCACCTGCGCATTATCATAATCGTGTGCGTAACTATTTGGACACCTGGAGTAACAATCGTTGGATCGGTCGTGATGGGCCTATATCTTGGCCTCCTAGATCACCAGATATGACACCAATGGACTTCTTTCGATGGGGCTACGTTAAGCAAGAGTTTATAGATATCCACCATCTACCCCGGAAAATATGAAGGAAAGGATTAAGGATGCTTTTCTGAACATAAGGGAGCACATACTGGGGGATGTGCAACGGTCATTCATCCAAAGACTACAAGTGTGTATTCAACATGGTGGAGATATTTTCGAGCAGTTTTTGTAGATTAGGTCTTGAGTAGTGATAGTTGTTTGTTTGTTGTTGTTATAGTTGTCTTTCTCTATTACACTTGAAGCTGATTTATACTGTTCTGATTGTTATTAGTTTTTACGTCCAATCTGCACTCTTAGTGGCAATATGGAACTTGCCCACTGTTTGTCCTTTGTTTCCATGGATGATGTGATTTTTTTCTAAATTTTGGTGTGTTGTTCTATTAAAAGCTTAATAACTCAAAATCTAGTGATTTTATCTGAATCAAACCTTATACCAAGAAAAAGCTTATAAAAAATTGAATTCAAACTTGCACAAATATACAGGGTGATGTATTTGAAATTTTTGAGAAAAAGTACAATTCGTGTTTTTGACCACCCTGTATGATCAAAAATGATACTTCGAAAAAGTAACAAATAAGATAAGAGCTGACGTGGGTAAGTTTTTTTTATACAAAATTCAGCACTCCAAATTTCAAAATGGAGTATTGAGGGGTTGCCGAAGTGGACGGTTTTTCTGGACAGAACACCTTACATCTCAGTAGCTAATTACCAGAATCCCATAGTATGACATATCCATCTTCTTCTTATGAATTGGTCTATCCAAATATGCAATAAAATTTGAGATATTCCATTTAAAAAATCACAACTTTGATATGTAGGTCAAAATTGAGACACCCTGTATAATTGCCAATATTTTATAAATGTGCCCTCAAATGCCATGTATAACATCCCATAAACAGATTTTCCCAAAATGTATTTGCTTATGAGTAATATTCCGTCCAATCATGGATGGGCCACCCTATATATAATAACCAAAATGCTTATTTTGCAGACACATAACGCTTATATTCTACACCAAAGCCTTGGCGAACCCTTTAGTAGAAATATGCCCCGAAAAAGAACGAGACCGATCACTTTCGATTTTGATCCGGTACGACGATACCACTTTCAAAAATGACGTCACTTTTTTCGATGAGGTGACGTGGCCTGGTGTACCAAAGGTGACTTATGAAACGGGGAAGGTTGAACTGGTGTTTAGGAAGAAAACGGAAAGGATTTGGGAGCAGTATGGACAACTTAGGCAGTCGATATGCGAGGAAGAAAGTCAAGGTCAGTAGTTATTGGAAGATACATATATAAGGTGGGTGGACCATGGAAGGCCACGATCACATATAAAGTTATTTTCCCTCTATTTACAGGACAAATTAAACAAAGTATTAGGTAATACTGACTTGAGCGAGTAACTTGTACTGAAGGTGGATCGCATGTTCGCCTGTCTCCCTTCCAAGCCCAGCGCCTCCAGTGTTGCCAGATCGAACGCTACGTTGTAGTCTCATCACTTGTTTTACAGAGCTCGTATAACGAATACTAATGACTTCTATGTTCACATGTTAGACCAAACTTATGCGACTTTAGTTTCGCATGACAGGCAGAGCGACCTACGTATTTTTCAGAGGCCGAAATGAAATTGCAATGAAAGAATAAAACAATATTGTTCCAAGTTGTGTGTCATATTATTAACATCGATTTGATTTCAGGAGAGAAGTACATGTTCATGTTTAAAGACAAACCTACTAAAGTGAACCATAATATGTACCTGTTAAGACTGGAAAGCACAGATGGAAGGAGGATAATAACTCCAATAGGAAAACATGTTAGGTTATTTGCTAATTTACATGGTAAGTTGTACTACTTGTCGAATTATAAACTTCACAGTATTTATTTGGAAAATATTTCTTAACAATAAAAAGCGATGATTACTTTTGGAGGTTTGATGGGTATTCACTTGTAATGGCCACTTGAGGGCTGTAATTTAAGCAATTAATAAAGGTTTTACGTTTCAAAATATCCTTCTCTCAAAAATTGTTGCCCACTGATTCGACAAGGTGAATCAGCCCATATTTTTTTGAATATTTAGTCCAGAGATTCCCAATTCGTATTTTAAGATTAAATCACTCCAAAGATTTGAAAATAACCTCGAGCAAGCCAAAAAATTTAAGGTAATCCAAATGTCGGTCCAAACCAACATGAAAACCGACGTATTTTTTTGCAAGTCACGAAAACGTCAATAAATACGTTATTATCAGTACCGTATTCGACCGCTGTTAAAAAATTCCATTATGTGTATGCCAAACACAACCAGATCCGCTTATACTTCAAATAAATTAAATATAAAAGCAAGGAACCTCAAGGATCAGTGCTAGGTCCGTTCCTATTTTTAGCTTATATTAAACATTTAATAAATTTAAACATAAATGGTAAATTAATCATAAATACTTTGGCGAAAGATTGGGAAATCTCGAAACTGGAGATACTACGGACCAAAATACGTGAATTGACCTAAACTTACCTTAGTCCGAATTTTACGAGATACAGGGTGTCAAAGTTACAATTTTATTTTCTATTTTTCCTTATTGCTTGAGAAGTATTCAGATTTTGGCATAAAACTCAATATAGGCAGGTTTTCTAGTATGAGAAACAGGAATCCGTTATTTTTTATGTCCAAACTTCTAGAGGGTGTCACTTTCACCACTATTTCGGTAAATAACTAATCATAACTTTTTTCTGCTACCCTGTATACAACAACTGACTAAAACATCTTATTTTCTCGTATTTCCACAACACAAAAGGTTCACTTGTTAGAAGTGTCTAAAGCTAATAGTTTTCGAGGTATTTGTTTTTAAAAGTTCCAATGCATTATTTGTACCATGATGGTAAAACATTTTTATAACATGATAATCAAGTTGCTTTGAATAATATCTGAGTAGCATTAGTCACGAAGCTTAAGCAATATTATGAGAAACATTAGAAACCATAGCAACGCTACTCAGATATTATCCAAAGCCACTTGATTTTTATGTTATAAAAACGTTTTATTATCATGGTACAAATAATGCACTGAAACCTTTAAAATCAAATATCTCGAAAACTATTAGCTTTAGACACTTCTAACAAATACACTTTTTTGTTGTAGAAATACGAGAAAATAAGATTCTTCGGTCAGCTGTTGTATACGGAGTAGCAAAAAAAAGTTATGATTAGTTATTTACCGAAATAGTGCTGTAAGTGGCGCCCTCTAGATGTTTGGCTATAAAAAATAACGGATTGTTGTTTCTCATACTAGAAAACGCCCCTATATCGTTTTATGCCAGAATCTGAAATACTTCTCAAACAATAAGGAAAAATAGAAAATAAAATTGTAACTTTGTATCTCGCAAACTATCAACTTTTGGACTAAGGTATGTTTAGGTCAATTCACATATTTTGGTCTGTAGTATCTCCAGTTTCGAGATTTCTCAACCTTTCGTATAAATGCAAGTAGGTAAAAATTGACAGTGATATACAAATCAGTCAGAAAATGGATGAACTTTCAATGTAAGTAAGACCAAATTCATGAAATTTAAATACACCCTATTTTATATAATAATTAATTTGAATAATGATTTGAGATCTTAGGACTGACTCAAATTTTACTAACCATGTAGATGAATTGCTTACTCAACTAGCAAAGATTTCCTTTATTATAAGAACAATTAATTACAACGTAGCGAAAAGTACAGCCTTAAATAGTTGATTTTTCCTTATTTGAAAGTAGATTGAGATCTTTTGTGTGACTTTTTTCAAAATTGTTTGAAAAAAGTGCTTATTCTACAAAACCGAACTATTAAATCAGTTAAATTAAAAGCACTCCTATAGCCTTTATTTTTAAATCTTGAAATAATGACTGACGGACCATTGTTTAATTAAGAAATAAATCTAAATTTGCGACAGCAAATACAAGTTAAGGTACTAGACGAAAACAAGATCTTAGTACCTAAATGAACGCTTGTGAAAGACTCAACAATTTAAAGATATTTCTCACTAAACTTAAAACTTCCTAATTTGTGAACCATGTGTGACTTCTACTATTCATACAAATGTACTTTTGTTTAGTTTTAAGATAGTTTTGTCATTAAGAATGAATGTATTTAGCATATCTGTACCTGTGAGCCAGACTATGTGAAGTCCATTTTTGCCTAAAATAAGTATGTTAAGTTCGTGATAATGTTTTGAAGAAAGGACTTTCTAAGCCATTTCAGGTCGGTTACAATACAATACACGATAAATATTTCAAACGCAATTATCTCAAAACTACGGGGTGTCCAGTGTCCACTTTTTGATTTAAGAAAAAAAAAATTCAAACCGAATGAAAAGAAAATATTTATTACTATCAACATATTCGTAAATTTGGCGAGTTTTATTTTCTAAATATAAACAATATACAAAATCAAGAAATGAGTGTGTAGCAGTTCTCAGGAGGGAAAAAATACTATGATAAGAAGATCGATAGCAATAAAAATAATTCTAAAATGATGTGGAAAACATTAAAGAATATTGTTTCTCCTAATAGAAAGACTGAATTATCTAAAATGCGTTTCGAAGATGGGGTAGTGACAGACACATTAATTATAGCAAAATGAACACTTATTTTATAGAAAGTGTAAATCAAATAGTGAAGACGATTGATGATGGTGATCCAAACTTATGTCCATTACAAGTATGTCAGAATTCATCAATGAAGCAATTTAGGACAATTATTAACATCCACAATCTAAGAAAAGCTATCTCAAAATTGAAATCTAATAAAAATCCAAGTGAAAATCTCTCAAAAAATATTCTAAATGATTGTTTCAATATAATTGGAGAGAAATCATTATTATTGGTGAATCATTGCTTAGTACATGGTGAATTCCCATCAAAATTAAAGTGTTCCACCATTACTCCTGTGCCAAAAGTTCAAAATTCTCAGCTGTATACAGATATGCGGCAGATGAATGTCTTGCCCGATGTCGAGAAGCTGTTCGAAGTGATAATATACGAACAAATCATAGAATTCATTGAAGAAACCAAAATTTTGATAAAAAACAAGCTGGATTTAGAAAAAATGCTCCACAGAAACGGCAATCCAAATGGCGGTGGAAGACTGGAGAAGAAGTATATGCTTGGTATATATGTGGATAGTAAGCTACTGTTTCACGAACATTATGAATACATTATTTCAAAAATTTCGAAAAAGATAAATTACTTCTATAGAGTTTCCCATAATCTCAGTATGTATTCCAAAAAAATTGTGTATAACACTATAATTCTTCCCCATTTTTTATATTGTTCAACCATCTGGTTTACAGCAAATCAAAACATATTTTCAAAACTACAAATTCTACAAAATAAAGCTATGAGAATCATTTTAAATAAAAACAAATATTCTAGGATTAAGTCTATGTTAGAAGAACTGAAGTGGTTGGATGTGAAAAATGTCATATATTATTTAGTTCTCGTTTTCATATTCAAATTAAAAGATCATTTATTACCACCACATTTAGAGAACTTCACAAAATTAAATAGTCATTATCATAACTATGAAACTAGAGGCAGTATAGATTTTCATTTGCAAAATTGTGATAGTAGCATAACTAGTAAATCTATATTTCAAAAGGGAGTATTTGAATTTAATAAATTGAATAATGATATTAAACAGAGTTCGAATTTAAAAATATTTAAGGTGAAATTAGAGAATCACTTTATGACTAATCAAAATGCATAGTGACGTAATTTTAATTTTAATAGACAACAATGTAAAATTACAGAAAATGGATCGAAGAAAAATATTTAACCGAATCATTATACAAAATTGACATTGTAATCTTCAACAACAGCAACAAACGATATGATTCCGACCAGAGTTCCGGAGTGGTGTTGTTTATTCCTCGTCGGATGTTGTCTTCCAGCTCCTGCAGTATTCGTCGATTATTGGAATACACTTTTGACCTTAGATAACCCCACAAAAAATCCAAAGGAAAAAGTGCTTTCACCGTGTCTATCGATTCTCTGGAAGTATGGGCAGCGGTCCCATCCTGTTGAGACCATGTGTTTCTGTTAAATCGACGTTCTGTTCTTACAGTAGCAGCAAAAAAGTGTCAATCATGTCCTGGTATCGCTCGGAATTGTCTGTCAATGCATGACCGCATCACTTACTCGACGCACATTTTCTTCGGTTGATACAGTAGGCGTGGGGCTAGGAATGGGTTGACTAAAAGTAGAGCCTGTTTTACGGAACCTCTTAATCCACTTTTTCAATACGTTCTTACTTGGGGCACCTCTTGGCGACGTTGTACCGTGTACAAAATTTCCGAGGGCAGCTGCGTATGCATCACCACTCTTAAAGTGGAGTGAAGTGGAGGGGCTATTTTTTCATTTTGTGCTTACAGTGATATATTATTACCTGGCATATAATGTTCAGCAAATAAATACTTTTGTGGTATGAATCAGCTTCTTTCAATCTAATAAAGACTATAATGCGTCTATTACAGTCTTTTCACTGTGCATTTTTTTGTTTGACGTCATATCTATTTTCTTCGTGATAATATCGTGGAAGAAAGTTTTTGAATGTATTATCAATTGCATAGAAGATGAAATTTCAAGAGTGGGAGCTTCTGGCGAAGATATAATGAATGCAAGATCTGTCCTTTCCTCCATGACTGGACCTTTTTCCTCAATCTGTTATGGTGGCATTCAGTATTGAGCGTAATGAATACGGTGCAGGTTCAAATGCAAAAGAAAGAAATAGTCTTGATGATGGCTCAAAGGTGTATTTCAGCAGCATTGAAAAAATTAAAAGATTTGAGGAGCGAAAGCACATACGATAATTTTTTTCTGGTTTTCTCATTGTCAGAAAGAGGAAAATCAAAAAAATGTTCCAATACACTCAATTTGGATTCTGCGATGGAAGTTTTTGCTGAACGAAAAGCAAGTCGCGGATTCAAATTAGAATAAATCCGTTATTTTGTATTGAATAAAATATGTTTGATCTCGCAGTCTTTACTTGATTCAGGTCATATAGGGATATAGTAAAAAACAGAGGTAACAGTGCATATAATTGTAAGCCTCTGTTAATGTGACAACCTTATTGCCAGCAAAATCTGTAGTCCGAAGTTTATCTGAACATTTTAGATGGATTTTACGTTATCGAAAAATTTTAGATCCGCGTGAGTATTGAAACAGTTGAATTAGCTGTTTTATTGCTACGTTGAAGCAGCATCAGATTAACTGTTTGCATCAAATTACTATTAAAACACCTTTTGCACTATCGATCAGCTTGTTTCGGTTAGTTGTGCAGGTCTTTCTAATTTTTTTATTCTCAGTTGTCGTCATTAATTTACAAATAGCGATAAATGTGGAGAATATCACTTTCGAAAATAGTGCCTAGTATGTACCCTGTAGTAATGCACGTTATTTAACGTATTTTAGTGTTGTTCACCAAGTTTGTATTCAATGAAATATCAATCACGGCTAACATGACAACAACTATCGATCATATTTGTTTTTTTTCCTTATCTACTTATAGTTTTATGCAAATCATATAGATAGCGTGCACTCCAAATTTGACTCGACGCCCTTTACTTATCGGTAGCATCCGCGGTAACTTTTAAACTCTATTATTCACAAGAAGTTTGCTGGTGAATCATCAAGTTTAATTTACTTCAAAAAATTACGGTGCGCATTACAACCTGTCCCGTGTCCGTGCGCACTATTAAATGCAAAAACCAGGCTGATGTACGATTGCACTAACATGACATTACGCATTAAATTTTGATATTTATTTCTGAGTTATCATGCAACTTTCAAAGTTTCCATTGCAGTATTTTATTTGTCAATAATTGCAGTAATTTATGTTGTTCGCAAAACAGTTATAGTGTGCACTATTTGCCGTCTGTCCCCGACCATACCACTGCCCCCCCAGTGCATATTGCCGACCGGGCACTTTTTCTTAAATCCGCCACTGGTCCGTCAAAAAGTATTTTTTATCAAATTTGCTTACAGCTTAAGCGCGCGCACGGACCACCCCTGGATCCGAGCCTGCCTCGATAGCAAAAGTACGTTGCGCTCCGGTCCAACGTTCCATTGTGACTATTTAACCCGCACTCCGAACGCGTCGATCAAGACCTCTCCCCACTTCCTCGCGTATAAGGTTGCCGCGTAATTGAAATTTGAACGGTGAACTTTTCCACTGGATACCCTGTACTTTATTGAGCTTCAGATATTTATCTATCTATCTAAAATAATTCGTTTATTTAAGGACACCAGACCGTTATTAAAGAGCAATTTCTAAAAACCTGGGCTGAAAACCTGATTCGGCAAAAAAAAAAAACATGGAGTTATTTGGATTTGTGTTACAGGTGTGGAGTGTTCCAGGAGCTACACTCCGGTACCACAAACCATATACACCAGGTGCCTATCGACGAACGTCGCCACTACGGATACGATGTGCTTCGCGATAAAATGCTATCCCACAGGAAACATGAGTGATCATCTGACAGATAGAGACAAAGGAGACATTGTGTACCTCACGAGGCCTTTCGGTGATTTCGATCTTTCCAGATTAGACACGAGAGATGGTTTCGTGATGTTGGCTGCAGGGACAGGAATCACACCCATGTTGGGGTTGATCGTGTTTTTGATGGAGAGGAGGGTTAGGAAATGGTGAGTTGTGATTAAAAAAACTATACCGAGAACGGAGAACTAACAGGCAATCGGATTTTTCCGTCAAATATCCGTACAAAATGGAATATTTTACCATACAGTCATTTCGTCATCTAAATTGAAAGGTGCACAAATATGTAAGCAGATCTTGATAATTGTAGTTATGTTCAGCTGTTTTAGCTTTTTAGTGTATAACACCCTTTATTATTCAAAGACATTATTAAATCCTTGTAGTATTTTCACTACTTTCTTCTAGTGAGAGTTTGCATATACAGGGTGTTTCTAATTTGGCACTCACGATTGGGCATCTTGAAAACTGTAAGGGATACGAAGTCGCTTAAATTTGGTAGTTAACAAAATGACACTTAGAAAGTTTGGAAATTCAAAGTACATACTTCCGGAGAGTGACGGAAAAACTGAATTTTCCCAAAATCGTTTTGTTTTTTCCTGGCTTTATTTATATTGGGATTTTAAAATTAATTGCACATTAACGGTGCCACGTTTTCTCCTCTACAAGAAGGCATAATCAGAATTTCTATATGACGGTTCGTCTCTTGTCCACCAACTTTATTATTTCTCAAGGCTATATTTTATTTTTGCACAGATGAATAGGGTTTTAAATTTTGATTCAAAAAATGCAAAATCCGTCACACATTGACGTTTTCAAACCTTAGTTACCTCAAAAAATTTTTAGGTAGGCTTTGAAATTATCAGATTTTTGTTTCGCTCACCAAATTTATCCCAAAGTCTCTCTATTTTTCCTGACTTTATTTGACATGAGACTTCAAAATAAATTGCATATTGTCATTGTTACTTATTCTCATCTACAAGATGGCGTAGTCAAACTTCCAATTCCACATTTCTTCTTCCGACTTCCGTCATCAATTTTGTTATTCAGACGGACACTATATTGGAATTTTGTACATTTAAATGGACTTTTCATCCCTAAATTCAGTGATGTATTCCGTTGGTTGACCATAAATTTGTTGTTGTATGAAAATTATAAGGAAATAAAAAGATATGGTGAAACCTGAATACGAAATGAAAATTTTATTGATGGTAATAACAATAAGTAACATAAATAAGCAGAGATCTTCACAGTCTTCCAAACTCTGTTGCTATGCAAACAAATGAAATCAGAAAATTGGCCTACCTAGGAAGTTGTGGAATAACTAAGGTTTGGCAATGTCAATGTATGACATACACATTTTTGAAATCAGAATAAAAATTCTATTCATGTGTGTAAGAATCCAATATGGCGTCTATAAGAAAAAATTAAGTTGATGCTGGAGGACAAGAGACGAAACGTCATATTGAAATTCTAATTGTGTCGTCTTGTAGAGGAGAAAATGGGTCAGAGTTGATGTACAATTTATTTTGAAATCCCACCATAAATAAAGTCGGGAGAAAATTAGAAACATTTTGGGAAATTTTGTTTTTTTACGTTTCTTTCCGGAAGTGCTTTTAATTTCAAAACTTTCTAAGCGACATTTTGCTGATTATCTCAATTCGCAACTTTGCCCCTATTTAAGCGACTTCGTATACTTAAAGTTTCCGAGATCCCAATGGTGAGGGTAGAATGTAAAATACCCTGTATAGGGAAAATATTATTTTCACCCCAGCAGAAACAGTGGGCTACTCCCTCTTCGTGGACACCCGTGAAAAACAGCTGTATCTTTCCCTTAAACATGTTTGGTATCTGAGTAGCCAGACCGACGAGACTTTTAACTAAGAGCAAAGGTCCACCGGACCGCTCTGAAAAATAATGACAAATAGTAGTAGTAAACAGCTGTATCACAAAATCTCCAGAATTCGTTATTTTGTTTTTTTTCTCATCAGCTTTGGGTTGGACTATACATAGCTAGAATATAGTCGAAATCACAAAAGATGACGATTACGTTATCATTTTAGTCTGTAGTAAAGACAAACTTCATCGATTTATGAATATTTTTAATGATGTTTCTGATATGTTAGACAGAGACAAACAGAATTTTATTGTCTAAACAGACTATTGCTAATTTGCATGTATCCGACATGTTTTGATGTTGCATGATCGATCATATTTGAAAGATGAATAGTTAGGTTATGTTAAAGCAGGTTATGTTGTTTTCGAATAATATTTTGGTCTTTGGTGTTCCTGCCTTGAGGTATTTTACTCATAACTGTTTTTTTTCTCAACACAAAAACTCCCCACTAAAATTATTCTCAAGGTATCACTTAAATATATGAAATAAAATGAAAATAAAAATAATCAGTGAAATAACCTAACTTCACAAAATCAAAATATAAAATTGTTGCCATTAATCTAATTCAAGCGGATAACCAAATGAAAATGGTATTTACCATTTTGGATTGGTATTCATCGATCCGTTCAAGCGAGTTTGGTTATAAGATCCGTGACGTCATGAATCAGCTGTTATATGTTATAGTTATCACCGCAAAATTGTGTTATTTACCCAACTCAGGAGTAGTTTTATATTTTTGTGGTTATTATTTGAAATGTGACAAGATAGAATTTTGCCGGGTATTGGATATTTTTGTTGTACTTCAGCTTCATTCTTGGGAAACTTGATAAGGGCTGGCTTCAGTTGTAGCACGCAAGTAGAGCACCTTATTAGTTATTCTCATTATTGTTGTTGGGGACACATTAAATCTAATTCTTATGCTTAACAAAGTATCCTGTGTAGCGATATTGCACAGGAATATTAAAAAATGGCCATATAAATTCACTGGATGATGTCCACCTGTATACGGTTTTGCTAATATCTTTTTTCATCGCTTTTTCTCATTTCTGCTAAATCAATAAACGTTTCTTCCATTAATATTATGAAAGGTTTTTTAAACTTTCCATACACCGTTGTAGACCAATAAGCACCGATTATTAAGTGATAATAAAAATAATCAGATATTAGATACGCGCTTTTCTAAAATTAACAACTTGCAACAAAACCGCGGTTAAAACCAACGCGTTCAAGCGATTCGAGTAACTGACGTCATCAACCCGAGTGTCATCTTGAACCATATTATAACCGCGGTACATAACACAGACATTTTGGTTATTTCCTTGGATTTGATTATTATGTTCCTGACATCGTGATTTTATCATCGACGTACATCCATTGATTACTTCAGTAACGTTTATGGTATGACGTATTAGTCTTTTTTCGTGATGTTGACTATATCTTCCATTCTATGAGTGCACAATCGGACAGCCTATCCCCATTTTCATCTTGAATGATTTCCATAAGATCTTCAATTTTATTGTTTGATTACATATTCCTCGCTCAATTTGTCTCACCACGCACCACCGCCGAAAATGTGTCCAAAACATGTGTCCAAAGCCGAGTTGATACTCCAAACTTTCAAGATCAGAATATTTCCTAGGTTGTCTATTTTTTGGTACTATTGGACCTATCGGAAAAATGTTAATTCCGGAACAAAAATGACTTCCTTCACTAAGGCCCGATTTTACTAACAGCGGCACAAAATTTGCGCCTATGGAACAAATTCGAGTAATGAGAAGTTGATGTTTGGTAGCAGCTCAATTTTTCCTTCTTCTTCTTAGCACTTCACCAAACCCTGCGCATTATTGTGTCACGTTACCTACTCCAAAACCACTGTGACTCACTCTGATCAGGCTGTTATTGTCTTATATGGTTGTTATCAGCATATTAATAAACACTCCTTGTTTTAATTAATATTTGAGTTTATTCTTAATACGTACATGCACCAGTTCAACAAACTATCTAAAGCAGATCACACACTATGCTACGGCTGTATGAGACAGTTATAATATAAAGTACATACTCCTAGGTAAACCATTTTGAAGTAAAAAACTTCAGCTGCTATACCATATTTGATTATACACGAAAAACATCAACTGAATATAGAAAATCTCAAACATGCAATAGAAGATTTGAAGAACAATAAATTAATTGTTTTAGTCGATACGTCTTATATACATATCTTAGATAGAATAGAAACTGTAAAAAATGACAGTGTAAAAATATGTTCTGCTGATAAAATTGAAGGTCTCTAATCCGAACAATAGTTTGTTTTTGCGGGAGAACCTGGAAGAAAGTTAACCGACATTTTTTTGCTCTCAAGCCACAAGAGACGTATTGGTTCAAAGATTCATTACATAAGTATGTGATGTATGTGAGGGTACTTGAAAAGCGGAATTACCTCGTGGAAAAAATTAGAGATAATCGAACAATAGGAATTGTAATAGGAACTCTTGGAGTGAAAAACTACCTCAATGTAATTGATATAATGAAGGCGTTGATCAATCTTAGTAGAAAAAAGTATTACATAATCAGTGTAGGCAAGCCTACGGTGTCAAAGTTAGCAAACTTTCCAGAGCTGGATGTCTATGTGATGATTACATGTGCCATGAATGAAATCTATGACAGTCGTGATTTCTGTCAACCGATAGCCACAACTTTCGATGTCGAAATCGCCCTCAACAATTCTTCAAACAACATTACTTTTTCTTATGACTACAACCAGTATATTGAACACTGTAAGACTATTGAGTGAAGTAGCAATTAAAACGAAGGTGAACCAGATGTCAGTTTGTTAACCAACAGGATACGAGGTGCTGAGAATGCGGAAGATAATAATTGTGGAAGCAATCAGATTATGTTGAGAAGTGATGGGACTCTAGCTTTGAACACAAGCTATGGAGCAGGGTTCTTAGCAGATAGGACCTGGAAAGGTCTGGAGCAGAACTTGGACAACACAGAGGTAGAAAAAGCTACTGAAGGCAGGAGAGGATTGACACAGAAATATGAAAATGAGAATTGTTGAAGAATTGTTGCTTTTCACTTGTATCAAATAAGTTATATTTCAAATTTAAATAAAATGTCTGAATTAGTTTTGGAACCTTTAATTTGGTATAAAATCTAGTTTTCTGATATCAAAGTTAGTTCTAGCTGCTAGATCAAATTTGGGTTTACCATGATCAAACTATTAACGATACTTCATTTTTTGCAGTCAGTACGTTCGACTGATATTCTTCAACAAAACGCAACAGGATAAAGTTTTCGAGGACCAACTTAATAATCTTAGACAGTACGATACAAGGTAAGAGTGTCAATGGTGAAAATAAAAAAAAATGTTTGCCACATTGTACCCAACATCTCTAACCTTATATAAAACATGATCTATTATACATCCCAACAGCCATTTTGGTACTTGAGGAGTAAACTGAATTTGAGTATTTTTTCTGCACTGATTTCAAAAATGTATTTCTTCTTCCCCTGCAGCTCTAGTTGTCGAGATATAAGCGATTTAATATTTTAAAAAGTGCAAGATATGCCATATTCGACAAAGAAAACAATAGGGGAAGAGAAAATTTTAATGTTGTCAAAGTTCGTAAAGATCCTTCAAACATTCATTAACAAAATTCCAAAGCGTTTTATGGGGTATATAAGTTAATTCGCCATACACTAAACAGTGATTCACTAACAATAATAACTTCTCGCCAATAATGTAGAAACATTCCTTCATAACCATTTTTGAAAGATGTTCACTAGGATTTCTCTTCGATTTCAATCTTGTAATAGATTTTGAAAGATGGCTGATATTTATTGTTTTGAATTGTCTCATAAAAGAATTATAAGTAACTTGCATGTGACATTGATTTGGATCCCCATCTTCAATTGACTCCACTATCTCGTTTATACTTTCCATAAAATAAGTGTTCATTCATTCTGAAGTCAATATTTTTTGTGTTACTTCCTACCTTCGAAGCACATTCTTGATAATTCATTCTTCCTACTGGGAGATACAATATTCTTTAGCGTCTTCCACATTTTACTGTTTTTTTTATTGCAATCGATTTTGTTTTCATAATATCTTCTCTTTTCGTTCCGAAGATTTGTTAAACACTTGTTTCTTGATTTCTTATATTCTATCCAATCTTCCTCAGTTTGAGTGATCGCAAACTTTTTATAGTCATTATCACGCATCAATTTAGAGTCTAAAAACAAAGGTTTAAGATAACAGTCATGGAGTCTATATACCAGGAGAAGCTACGGCAATGCTGTTTGGTTCGTGCTGTAAAAACTAATCTGACACTTGACGTGTGGAGTACCAGTGGTGCTTTGACAGGATTGCCATATTGGGGTATTTTCCCCCAGATTTAGGGATTTTGAGAGGAGAGGATTATTTTTGGGATTGTAATGTTCTGGGGGAAATCACAACTTTCGCGTTCTTTGAAACATATCTACCTCTTAAGTGTGATTTTTTGTGGATTTTTTGAAAAAGGTAGCAAATCTAAGAAATGTTCATGCTTGTTCTGGGGAAATTCTGTCTGAACCATCTGACAACGCTGTGCTTTAACATATCCTACATACGAACACCAATGGATAGCCATTTAGTTCATAGAAAATTAACTCGACTATTTTTGCTTATTCCTTGTAAATCCATGGTGTAAATAGTTGAATATCTGTTGAAAGCTGCTGTTATTTAGCTAGTTTAACTCCCTCGTTAACGGTAACATTGTTTCGAATACCTACTATCGTCCAAAATGTTGTTGAAAAACTCAAAGACCGACCAGATATATGGACTAACTCATTGGTAGAAAAATAGCAAGCATTTGTTCTCGTGGTACACAGACTCCATGATAATAACCCGTAAAATGTATTAAAATTCAGTTAATTGAAGTTTGAAGAACATTTAGGAAATATGACAAAATGAAAGTTCGTTTTTTCATATTGTTTCATCTGGTCAAAAATGACATTTTGCACTTTTTTAAATATTTAATCGCCTGTATCTGGGAAATTTAAAATCAGTGGTTACTTCTTCGGCACAAACCGTTTTTCTCATTTTGTTATTTATACAGGGTGTTCCTTAATGATATGCGAATATTTAAGTGTGTGAATCTACATGAAAAATCAATGTTAGTTCGCTTTATAAACTATGGCCCAAAAATGTTTTAGGAAAAAATGGAAACTAATTAATATTTTCAGAACCGCTTCAGATATTTCACTGATATTTAGTACGTAGTGAAAGTTAATAATGTTGCATATTTTTCAATGCAATAATAATTTTTAGCTTAAACAGTGGCGTACGTACGGGTATTGACTTCGATATTTTTTAAGACAAAAATGGTACGACAATGGTTTTTTGAAAAATCAAAATTAGTTTCGAATTTCCCGTTCAATTAAAAATAAATGATCTCTCTTGAATTGCTTTCCTTCGATGAGTTATTTTTGAGTAAAAAAATAAAAACCGTTCTATTGTCTAACTTGCAAAATTATTATTAATTTAATTGGAAAAATTAAATACATAATGAAATTGTTGAAAATGCCTCCCTCCACTTCGTATCGAAGTCAATACCCGTACGCACGCCACTGTTAAAACTAAAAATTACTTTTGCATTGAAAAATATGCATCTTTATTAACTTTCACTATGTACTAAATATCAGTGAAATATCTGAAGCGGTTCTGAAAATATTAATTAATTTCCATTTTTTTCCTAAAACTTTAACACCACGAGTTTTTGTAAGGACCATAGTTTATAAAAAAGCACACTAACATTAATTTTTCATGTAGATTCACACCCTTAAATATTCGCATATCATTAAGGAATAACCTGTATATTATCTGCATCATTATCACGTTAACTATGGATTAATTTTTGGCAAAAACAGTGGAAAATTTCGCTCTTTTAGCATAATTAATACTCTACTCAAAGGATTTGCATGAAAAAAAAACTTTATTTGGAACTAAAATCGTTTTAATGCATACCATTTATAAACGTTTCAGGTTACATGTGACGCACGTGCTATCAGAACCAGGCGATGGTTGGACAGGCCTTGCCGGTCACGTGAACAAAGAAATGGTAGCGAGTATAGTAGACGAGCACATCAAGGACACCGGTTATACGATAGCCGACGTGTTTTTCTTCGTATGCGGACCTAACCAATTCAACTCGTTAGCTGTGGATGAAATTGGACAATTGGGAGTTACTACTGATCAGATGCATGTATTCCAGGTAAAATATTTCCAACCTGCAATTTCTTGTTCATGAGGGGGTGCGAATACGAAGGCCATGGGAGATTGACATTTTCTAACTTCATAAGTTCTTTGCAACTTTGGGTTGCATTTAATAATAATAAAGTGTCTTTATTAATTTTTATGAAGAAATTATGATGTAATGTAATTCAATACCAATAATAATATTCTACCGAACCACTGGAGGGCAGCGTCCAAATAATTACACAATTAGATTAAAGAATCGATGAAGTAGACAATCAAAAAAAATATATGATAAATGAAGTAGAACTTTCAAAATTTTCTATTTTTTTAAAATTTCACAATTTGCAATATTTCCACAATAGTCGAACTATTCAAACATTTCAAAATATTTAAAAATTTTCAGTCATCGATATTATATAAGCTTTAAAATTTTTAAAAATTTCGGAATTTCCAAAGGACCACGCACAATTCTTATGGGAAAAGTGATTCCGGTGGATTTTCTTCAGACTTTAAATTTGTATTCTCCAGGTGTTGCTGATCAAATGTTCTTGGAAGTTGGGTATCCACAGCGAGAAGGATATCCGTTTTTTTTTAACCAAGTACATAACCTATGGTTTAGATGAGTTCATTACATAACGAATGGCTCAAAAGAATAAATTGTTACTGCAAGTCGGGTTAATCTTTACACTAATTTTGGCCCTTTTATGAACGCGACTGTGTGCGTATAGTGTAACTTTAGGTTACATTTATAGATATTGCATGAGTATTGCGTGGTGTTTGAGGAATGATCTCTCCTTGGATTCTAAACAAACAATAACGTTTCCTCGAGGAACTTCGTAATCTTTGCATTTTTATAGTTACCAAAATTGTAAAATTTTTTTAAATGTTACAATTTACAATATTTTTGGTGCGTGGTCGGTTGAAAACTTTAAAAACTAAAATACCTACACAAAATGTTGAAAATTTTAAAGATTTTTAAAATTTTGAAAGTTGAAAAAGATGAAAATTTTGAAATTTAAGAATTTTGAAAACCCTGAAAAACTTCGAAAATTTCCAAGTCAGTATAATCTATTGGTTATACTGGAATATATACTTTAAGTGAAAGAGTGGTTTTGTTTCATTTCGCTGAACTTTTAATATGTTATGTGTCTTGACATCCTGAATAAATGGCTCGATAGGCACAGGCCCCAAAACTCAACGAGTCCCAAGATCTAGGGCGTCCAAGTCAGTATAATGGGGTATCGGTTCATCTCAGATATCTGGTTCAAGTGAAAGAGTGGTTTTGGTTTATTTTGCTGCATTTTTCATATGTTATGTGTCTCGGCGTCCTTAACAAATGCCTTAATGGGCGGAGGCCCCAAAAAACCAACGGGACCCAATATATCGCGGGTCCAAGTCAGTATAATCTATTGGTTATACTGGAATATATACTTTAAGTGAAAGAGTGGTTTTGTTTAATTTCGCTGAACTTTTAATGTTATTTGTCTCGGCATCCCGAACAAATGCCTTGATGGTCACATGCCCCAAATCTCAGTGTGATTTACTCAGCTATCTGCTCTATCTAGAGGAGTGGTTTCGGTTAATACGATATGAATAATTTTTGAAATGTCATGTATCGCGTCATCCTGAACAAATGTCTCAAAGATCACATATAATTGGAACCACATCCGTTTTCCATTGGGGTTGGAAGAATCAAACTCAACGAAGTTTAGTAGCAGGTAGGCCGACGAATCTGTTAACCGGCTACGACTCAACAAGAGCGATGACAGTGACAGCTCCTTGTGTATTTTTCTATATAAGGGAGACTGCTACATGCGCAGCCGCACATTGATCGAATACGTTGTTGTGAGAGGACATTTTTATTTTATTCGTTAATTGTTGCAATCTACAATCGGTTCATTACTAAGTACTGCTCAAGTATTTTTTGTTTAGTTTTCCATGGCATTATATACTTCTTGTTGGTCGTTTCTCATATTTCGTTTATCGTTAATCGTGTTTTGTTTTTGGTCTCTCGTTTTTTGTTTTCCATTTTCGTTTTGATTCTTCGTACTCTTTTAATTTCGTTATTTTTAGCATTACGTGTAGAGTTTTAATTTCAAGATGTGCAGCTTGCATTTTATACTATAGCAGCGAGCATGGCGCAGCGCATGCCATGTTATGTGTGTAATGAAGTTTTCGCTATTCGAACCATGCGACTTATGAGAAACTTCAGCAATCCAGAAGTGGAGATTGCTATGAGGTACCGCGAGTAGCTGAACTACTCTGTTTTTGTGATAAACTGTGATTTATCCTCTGTCCTTAGACAAAACTCATCTGAAACATGTATGATATGAAATCACCTGAGTATACATTTGCACCGGCTTAGTATTGAGGGTCGAGTTGAAATATATTTGGAGAGTAACATTTACGTCCCTCAAACATCTCGGATCTGTTCACAGCACCTCAAAGAAAAAGAATTTCGTTTGAGGAACTTTTATGTAGAAGTCAGTAGACCTTTTACACGATTAAGAAAATTGGCTCTAAAAAATCGTGCACACTCTCTTGATCCTGATAATTTAACTGATGAAAATTATACTTATCTTACTTCGACATCAAAAGCTCAGTTCAATAATTTACATGAGTCTTACATTCCTGTCGGTGGAAGTAAGAACTTTCGTGGATACCACAACATCTCACCCTATATTGGGACCCATTGAGTTTTGTGGCCTCTGCCCATTAGGGCATTTGTTCAGGACACCGAGTCACATAACGTATAAAAAGTTCAGCGAAATTAACAGAAACCGCTCTTTAACTTGAAGCAGATATTCCACTAGAACCGTAATCTCATTGCACTGACTTGGACGGCCTACATCTTAGGGCCAGTTGAGTTTTGGGGCCTATGCCCATCAATGTACATACTTATCGAGGAGGTCGAGACACATAACATATGAAAAACTCAGAGAAATTAACCGAAACCGCTCTTTCAGTTAAGGCATACATTCGAGTATAACCAATACAGTATATTGACTTGGACACCCTATATCTTGGGACCTGTTGAGTTTTGGGGCATCTGACCATTAAGGCATTTGTTCAGGATTCCGAGTCACATAACATATAAAAATTCAGCGGAATTAACCGAAACCACTATTTCGCTTAAAGCAGATATTCCCATTATACCCAATAGATTATACCGACTTGGACGCCATATACCATGGAATTCGTTGAGTTTTGGGGCCTGTGTCCATTAAAGCATTTATTTAGACTGCCGAGGCACATAACATATAAAAAACTTAGCGAAACCGAAACCACTCTTTCACTTGAAGCAGATATTCGAGACGGACTGATTACTCCATTATACTGACTCAGACGGCCTATATCTTGGGACCCGTTGTGTCTTGGGGCATGGGCCTTTATTCAGTACGCCAAGACACATAACATATCAGTCATTCGGGAAAATTGACCAAAACCACTCTTCCATTTAAAGCAAATATTTGAGTAGAACCCCATTATACCAACTTGGACGCCCTATATCTTGGGACCCGTGGAGGTTAGGGGCCTGTGCCCATTGAAACTTTTGCTCGGGATGCCAAGACTCATAACATTTCAGCGAAATTAACCGAAACCACTTTGCTCATAGGCGTGTTGCCGGGTCCTTTAACATTTATACTTGCAATAGGCTGTATGAGTTCTCATCTTAGGTTTTTATGTTTTTCAAAGTTTTTAAGTTTCTTATAATTTTATATTTTTAAAATCTTGAAAACTGAGAATTTTACTATTTTGAAAATATCGAAAATTTTGACAATTATGGCAATTCTAAAAGTTCTTGAAATGTTGAATATTTTAAACACTAAAATGTTTTGGAAACACGAAATGTTGAAAATTTTTAAAATATTGAAACTTGAAAATTTTAAAAAGATGCAAATTTTTAAAATTAAGAATTTTGAAAATCCTGAAAAAAACCGTAAATTTTGAAAATTCTGAAGATTTTGAGAATTTTGTATTTTTATTGTTTATTTTAAGTAATACTCACTTGATGAATTTAACCTCAAAGTTTGGAATAAATCAACCTGAATCGCTTTTCCCATAACAATGGTCCGTGGCCCTTTAAACATTTTTGAATTTTCAAAATATTCAAAATTTTGGATATTTGTGAAAGATTCGAAAACCATCGAAATTTTAGTTTTGAAAATTCTCTGAAAATTGATTATTTTGGAAATTCTGATCATTATGAAATATATGAATATTTTGATATTCTTGAAGACATTTTTGACATCCCGAAAATTTTTAGGGTTTTCAAATTTGAAATGGGTATTTAATCCCATTAATCGTCTGAAAATGGGTCCACATTTACAGTCGACTCTTGAGGGTTAGTTAGATTAATAAAATTTTGGAAAATGTTGAAAAGATGACAATTTTGAAAATTAAGAATTTTGAAAATTCTGAAAAAATTTGGAAATTCTAAAATTTTGAGAATTTTGTATTTTTATTGTTTATTTTAAGTAATACTCACTGCACAGACTTTAATCTCAAACCTTGGAATAAATCCACCCTGAATCACTTTTCCCATAACAATGATGATTTTTAAAATTTTAAGTTTTTGAAATACTCTGGAAATTGAATATTTGAAAAATAAACACAAAATGTTGATAATTTAAATTAAATTCTGATCATTATGAAATATATGAATATTTTGATATTCTTGCAGACATTTTTGACATCCCGAAAATTTTTAGGGTTTTCAAATTTGAAATGGGTATTTAATCCCATTTAATCGTCTGAAAATGGGTCCACATTTACAGTCGACTCTTGAGGGTGTAGTGCCGATTGAGGGTTAGTTAGATTAATAAAATTGTGGAACTTGAAAATTTTGAAAAAGACGACAATTTTGAAAATACTGAAAAAATTTGGAAATTCCGAAAATTTTGAAAATTCTGAAAATTTTGAGAATTTTGTATTTTTATTGCTTATTTTAAGTAATACTCACTCACAGAATTTAACCTCAAACCTTGGAATAAATCCACCTGAATCACTTTTCCCATAACAATCATGATTTTAGAAATTTTAAAGTTTTGAAAATACTCTGGAAATTGAATATTTTGAAAAATAAACACAAAGGGTTGATACCTTAATTATTTTGGAAATTCTGATCATTATGAATATATGAATATTTTGATATTCTGAAGACATTTTTGACATCCCGAAATTTTTAGGTTTTTCAATTTGAAATGGGTATTTAATCCCATTTAATCGTCTGAAAATGGGTCCACATTTACAGTCGACTCTTGAGGTTAGTTAAGATTAATAAATTTTGGAAATTTTGAAAAAGATGACAATCTTGAAATTAAGGAATTTTGAAAATCTGAAAAAATTTGGAAATTCCGAAAATTTTGAGAATTTTGTATTTTTATTGTTTATTTTAAGTAATACTCACTCACAGAATTTAATCTCAAACCTTGGAATAAATCCACCTGAATCACTTTTCCCATAACAATGATGATTTTAGAAATTTTAAAGTTTTGAAAATACTCTGGAAATTGAATATTTTGAAAAATAAACACAAAATGTTGATAATTTAAAAAAAATTCAAATATTGAAGCTTGAAATTTTCAAAAAATGAAAATTTTAAAATTAAGAATTTTGAAAATCCTGGAAAAAAACGGAAATTTCGAAAATTTTAAAATTCTGAAGACTTTGAGGATTTGTATTTTATTATGTTTATTTTAATTAATACTCATTTGGTGAATTTAACCTCAAAGTTTGCAATAAATTCACCTGAATCACTTTTCCCATAGCAATGGTTCTTTAAAAACTTTCGAATTTTCAAAAATCAATCAAAATTTGGGATGTTCTGAAATATTCGAAAATTTTTAAACGCATAAAAAACATTGCTAATTTTAGAAATTCTAAAGTTTTGAAAATTATCTGAAAACTGAATTTTTTGAAAGTTCTGATCATTACAAAAAAAAGTATTTTGATATTCTTGAAGACTGAAAATTCAAGAAACGTCTATGAATGGGCTCACATTTACAGTCGACCCTTGAGGGCGTTAGTTTAGACCTTAGATGTGGAAGTGGAAATTTAACATTTATATTTGCAATAGGCTGTAGGAGTTCTCATTTTAGGTTTTCGAAGTTTTTAGGTTTATTATAATTCTATATTTTTTAGATTTTTAAAATATTGGAACTTGAACATTTTTAAAAGGATGAAATTTTTTTTATCCCTTAACCGGAAAGGTGCCGTCTGTGAGACTGCGGCGTTTCTATACCTGAGCGTATCTTTTTTTATTGCACCTCTAACAGACGTAAAAACCCATCTAATCCATAAGCTATTAGTGACCATCGCCCACCCCCATTCACACGAGTCTAGCCAAAACGTGCCTTAAATATGGACCAATTTTAGTTTGTTGCAGTCTGTCAGACGGCACGTTTCCGTTCCCGTTTGCTATTTGTGTTGCATAGGTGCGTTTGCGAGTATGGCGGGACCTTCTAAACGTGTACGATACGATGATCCGGAGTTCGAAGAAACCGTTCTAAAATGGTTTGAGGATGAAGGAAGTGACTTTAGTGATATAGACAGTGCCTCAGAAGACGAATACATGGAATCAGATCATACAAGTGATAGTGAGTTATCAGAAGACGGAGCCGAAGGAAATGAAGAGGATTTACCAGCTCAGAATTATTTCTATGGAAAAAATCGTCATAGGTGGAATATTTCGGAAGTTGTACCATCATCACGTACAAGGAAGCACAATATAGTCATTAAAGTACCAACTCTAAGAGGAAAAGCTCATGAATATGGAGAAGAAGTAGCTCCGTTGACGGTTTGGCAGCTTTTGTTCACTGACGACATGTTGGTACATATCGTTAAGTGGACCAATCACAAGCTCAAAGAAATGCGAAAGAGATACAAAAATCAAACCAGCAACCTAAACGACACTGATTTAGTCGAAATAAAGGCACTATTGGGTCTCTTAGTATATACATCGGTGTTCAACAGCAACCACGAGAACATTGAAACACTTTTTGCCACCGATGGCTCTGGAAGAGATATATTCAGAGCTGTCATGAACATAAAACGATTTGGTGTTCTCCTGTCAGCCTTAAGGTTTGATAACCCAGATGACAGGAATGAAAGAAAGAAGCTAGATCCAGTAGCACCAATATCTTTCATTTTTAATAGTTTTATAAAGAACTGTCAAGATGTGTACGGAGTTGGCCAGTCTGTCACTGTCGATGAAATGCTCGTGAGTTTCAGAGGAAGATGTCGATTTAAAATGTATATGCCTGCGAAACCTTGCAAATATGGCATAAAAATTATGACATTGACGGATGCAAGGAATAGCTACCTCTATAACGCATATATATACTGCGGTAAAGATTCCGATAGTTTCGAACTTCCTGAGGAACACAAGCGGTATTCCAAACCCACACAATCAGTTCTACGTATCGCGAAGCCTCTGTTTGGAACTAATCGCAACATTACAGCGGACAACTGGTTTACGTCAATAGAATTAATGGATGTCCTAATGAAGAACAAACTGACCTATGTGGGTACAATGAAGAAAAATAAAAGAGAAATTCCTCCGGCATTTTTACCCAACAAATCAAGAGAAGTCGGATCAACAATGTACGGATTTCGAGAAGATTCCACTATTGTGTCTCATGTAAGCAAAAGAAATAAAGCCACAATACTCATATCTTCTATGCACCACAGAAAATATTGTGATCCGGAAACACAGAAACCGGAAATAATAGCCTATTACAATGCTAATAAAGGTGGAGTTGATTCTCTTGATGAAAAATGTTCGAAGAGTACCTCAAGTCGCCGTTCGCGTAGGTGGCCACTGGTTATTTTCTACCGACTATTGGATATATCGGTAGTGAACTCGTATATTTTACACCAGTGCTATAAGAAAAATGAATTGCAGAAGGAAAAATCGGTATTTGCTAAGATGTTGGCCGCTAACCTGGTCCGTGAGCATATGGAAAAGCGACTAGAGAGTCCCCGTTTACCTCGGGATTTGCGACTTACGATAAATCGCATCCTTGGCAAATGTGAACATCCAGCAACAGAAGCTGAAAATTTGGTTTTGGAAAAAAGGAAAGCCTGCTTTTTATGTCACCGAACGACCCATCGGATGACCAAATTTTTGTGTGTACAATGTAGGAAGCCTGAATGTCTTCAATGCTCCAAACCCAAATGTATTAGCTGCATAAATATAGGCAATGTTTGAGACTTGCAGTGAATTTTGATTGTGTTCTTTTTGTATTTATTGACTATAATATACTTTCCTTGTTCATTACTTAACTAGAAAATAGAAAAATATTGAGACTTTTCCATAGTTTTAATTTAGTTTCTGAATGTTGCAACAACAGCGTTATTTTTGTGTGGTTTTAGCATAGTTAATAAAAATGTTTCTTTATGTTCTTGTATCATTTTGAAATGAGCATTTTACGTATTAAACACATAAAATAAACATCCAGTATCAGTTTCAGCGAAGTTATTGCTTGCTTTTCGCCTTACTCTAATTTTTTGAACATCTTGAAGTTCGCAGTCTGAGAGACGGCATGTTTCCTTTTGTGTTCCAAAAATTCACGTTTTAAAATTAAGAATTTTGAAAATCCTGGAATAAAGGAAATTACGAAAATTTTGAAAATTCTGAAGATTTTGAGAATTTTGTATTTTTATTATGTTTATTAAGTAATATTTGTTACGGCAAGTACCTATGTATTCCATTATCCGCGATAACCACTTGACCGGCTATGGTAGAAACAGGTATGTATTAAGTGTTAGTATGTTTAGTCTTGATTTGGTTATTCCAGGGATAGCAGCGACCCTTATACGGCGACAGAAAGAACAGCGGTCGAAGTTCAATCAGCGAATTTGTGATGGGGGTATTCAACTTTATAGGCCGAAGTAGGGTATCTTAGGGACATTAGTATCATTAGATGGAGTATAAAAGGCAATCCTTTCGAAACAGAAATAATATTTACATTCGTATAAGGATATTCCAATTTTGATCTACTATCCTGTTGACAGAGTGCTTAAGTTTTGTGGAATATGGCAAGTGATATTTCTATAGAAGTTTAAGGAGGACACACATATTTCAGATACAGGTGATACAGGCAGTTGTATTTTTAGTTTTAGGTTGCGAGGGTATCGTAATATTTATCAACTTTTTTGTCTCGATGAAATTAAGACAGAATGTAATCATGTTATGCAATAAACTATATTTCTTGTAAAAAAATCGAGCCTTATCTCACTTTATAAGATATAAAATGCATATAAAAATGCATTGATTCACAATGCTATGGACCACATAAACTACTTATAATTCTTCATTCGCTAGTTAATCCATTTCGCCAAATATTTCTAAGGTTACATATTTTGTTAAATAAAATTATCTATAAATAATGATTTTAGGAATATTTTGCTGTTAAGCGATTTTTCAATGATACTTTTTCATTCGCGATGAGAATGATTATTTGGAAAAATTCTTTTATATTGAGCAGTGTTATAATGTATAAATTAATATAATATGTAATATTCTAAATCATTTAGATCGATATGTTGAACCATTGCGTTCATGATTATGTAAATATAAACGAGTAATATACAAAGTATTTTTGTTGATTAGAAAAATAAAATCATCTTTTTAATGGATTATGAATGAATTCCTGACCAAAACCGCATCATTTAATACTGATCATGTCTGCAAAAAAAGGTGACCGTGTTGTAATGCATACATAAAATGTGGTATTTAGACAAAGTATATGTATATATAAAGTATATGCCTTTTTCAAAATCGCCCCTTAAAAAAATATCCTTATTGTTTCGTTTCTCCCAAAATTTCTATCAGAGGTACTGTTGCTTGTTAGTCTAATCATATTAGATTAAAATATTCCTGGCTTGTGAAATAATTGTTAAGTCTGGTTTTATTGCTGCAAGTTGTTCAATGGGGTATTTTGAAAACATGGACGCATAAAATGGATAGACCAATTTTTGTGAGAAAACTTTTTATTCGACAACAAAGAATAGGAAAAGCTCAATTTTGGGTGACCTGTGATAACACTTTACAAAGAACCTCCATCTATGGACTGGTAGCCCAACTGAACAAATTGTTCTTTTGTCTAGTTGAAAATGCACAGAATTAGCTCAAAATCATTTAAGAAAGGCATATACGGATCAATATATTTTTTGTTCGGCTACACTCCAATAGATGACGCTGCATATCGGTAGCCACCACAAAGTCCACCGTTTTGAATGGCTACCTTGGGCTGCTCTAATCCGTTCAGTAAGCCCCAATGCATGCAAGGAGCAGGATGCTTTGTTTTCCAACAAAGCCAAATCAATACGTAATATTATATATAGCAAACTAATCCAAACAAAATAATCTTTTCAGTAGAAATGGGGGATTTTTAACTCCCCTCACGGAAATTTAAGTTTCTTGATCTTTGAATTTGCGTTGCCAAAAATCCATCCCGAACCCCGACCAGCACGCCCCTAAAGGATCTATCTTTTTTGACCAGTCAAATTTTGTGTGACCAATGAAAACACTTTACAAAGAACCTCCATGTATGGACTGGTAGCCCAACTGAACGAATTGTACTTTTGTCTAGTTGAAAATGCACAGAATTAGCTTAAAATCATTTAAGAAAGGCGTATACGGAAGAATACATTTTTTATTCGGCTACTCTCCAACAGATAGCGCTGCATATCGGTAGCCTCCACAAAGTCCACCATTTCGAATGACTACCTTGGGCTGCTGAAATCCGTTCAGTAAGTCTCAATGCATGCGAGGAGGAGGATGCTTTGTTTTGCAACAAAACCAAATCAATACGTAATATAGATATATCAAACATCGTTTCATCAAATAAATAATAGTTTTATCTTTTATAGCTAACCGAACTAAAAAGTAGGAAATAATTTTTAATTACAAAGAGTTTATATTACAGTAGTAGATGGTCGAACAATCAATCATAATTATTAGTGACCTCAAAATAAAATTATAATAATATATAAGTTATTAACAGAATAATTCAATTTAGATTAAAAAGCGTGGGGTGCTTGATATATTTAATTTTACAATTATTCTATTGGCAACTATTCATGAGAGGAGACTTATGAAAATGTAGTAAAATGCACCCCTGGCTTTTCACTCTGAATTGAATTATTCTGTTAATAACTTGAATTTGATTATAATTTTATTTTGAGATTATGATTGATTGTTCGACCATCTACTACTGTAATATAAAGTCTTTGGAATTGAAAATTATTTTCTACTTTTTAGTTCGGTTAGCTATAAAAGCATGTTTTTTTACTTTTTTTAAAATAATATTTGTTTTTCATTTTATAGTTCGATTTCTCAATTAGTTTTTTGTCGACATGTGGTATTGAAATGTCTTACGAATCATTTCGTAATTTAATAATTTCATTTAACTTAGTAAACTAATCCAAACAAAAATAGTCTTTTCATCAGAAAATGGAGGGATTTTTAAGCCACCTCACGGAAATGTAAGTGTCTTGGTCTTTGAAGGTGCGTTGCCGTAGCAGAGAAAAGAGAAAATCTCCAAGAACAGCTTAAGTATGTGAAACCAGAATATCGATACTTCTCTGAACCAATCTTAGAAACAAAATAATTTGTCATTAAACTGTTATTACCTTATATAAATCAAACATTATTTTGTTGTTGTTTCACGTTTTGTTAGCTGGTTAGGTATGCTTTTTTATATAGAATTTTGTAGTGAATGAAGGTGTTATGTACTGTTTTTTCAAATTTCGTAGACATAATTTTTTTTTGTTGATAATTTTTTCCGTAAATAAAATATTCCATAAATTAGTAACTAAAACGAGAAGTTTCTATATAATAAAGGTACATGTGAGAAAAGTTTACAATATCTCGAAATTTGAATTTTGTAACATAGCACCTTCATCCACCCGTGTCTTCAATTATAGTCTTGCAACGATTATAGTTTCTTTGATCTATCGTAATGTATATATAATTTTACTGTTCTACTCAAATAGGAAATCATGGCTTCAAAAAAAAAAAAATGGTGACAACAAAAATACTTCTTTTTCGAACACCTGATCTTTATCTCAGTGTTATCTAGTGTGGTAACATGATTCGATCTAGTAGTCTAAGGTATATTTCTAGGAAATACGCATGATTCTTCGTTACGCTGGTCTTTTACTTTCCACGCCAACTAGCTAGGAAGTATTGCAATCGCGAAAAAATTTCAAAAACGTTTTTGGACAATATACAGTGTGAGTCTTCATAAAGTGCACATAGCGAAATCAAGGAAACTACACCTTATTTTATTGACGGAAAAATTATCAAAAAAAATTAAAAACAATAATTGATTTTTTATGAATATTTTAAAATTTTTAGAGTCAGCTGTTAACCCTATTTAAATAAATCGTTACAACTTTTAAACTGAATGTCCTATCATATTGGAATTAATTTTGTAGTGATTGCAAATACTAGGCCGTACCAGTAAAGTTAAAATTACCACGAAATTAAATGCTGTAAATATAAAATAAAGAGGAATATGCTGAAACTCACTATTTTTGCAATGATTTTTAAAACAAATGCTAAATTTCAATAAAAATTATCCTATTTACCCTACCTTTTTTAAATGTTAAGTTATTCTACATGTTATTAGCTTCCTAATGGTGAAAAATTGCAAGTTTATTACTTAGATACAAGTTTTTAAATCAGCGTTTCAAAAAGCAGTGAACTCAGTTCAACGCCAGAGTAGGAATAAAACAACAGTATTAACCTACATGAATCATTCATTATCTTTAACAAATAAAATCAAATGGACTTGTCTATAGGATAATCATTTTGGCTCAATGCATCAAATGTTCAAAATGGCCACCCCGTTGCTTCAAACACATTGTAGCGCGAAGTGAAATTTGATGAGTTGCCCTACGAATCATCTCGGTATCATTTTTGATTTCGTTTGCAACACGCACTTCAAGTTCCGCTTCGCTGTTTATGGAACTGCTGTACACCCTTTGTTTCATTGTCCCCCATAAAAAATAGTCGAGAGGTGTGAGATCTGGGGAACGCGCCGGCCACCCAACAGGTCCTTGTCGACCGATCCAGCGGCCTGGATAATTTTCATTAAGAAAAGACCTGACAATCAGCGAGTAATGGGCAGGACATCCATCCATTTGAAGCATCATTCTTCGACGGGTTTGCAGCGGCACTTCTTCCAACAGCAAGGGCAGTTCAGTCCGCAAAAGCTCCAGAAATCTCTCTCCGTTTAATGTCCTCGGGAGTATTATTGGACCAATCAAAAAGTTGTCAATCAGTGCGGCCCACACATTTACAGAAAATTTCCCTTGAAATGTTGAAGCCCTTTTCAGCCTAGGGTTTTCATCTTTTGGGCACCACTTATGTAAATTACGACAGTTCACGATGCCGTCTCTCGAGAATTGAGATTCATCTGTCCACAGAATTGTTTTCGGGAATTCAGGATTGTCTCTTGTTTTTATTAAAATCCATGTAGACATAATGCACATTGGACGCCAATCCACATCTTCATGCAAGTGCTGCACCTTTTGATAATGGTATGGATGCAACCCTGCTTTCCTCAAGATGCGCCAAACCGATTTCTGGGATACGCCATGACGTAACGCCAAACGTCTCGTACTAGTAGTCGGGTCAGCAAACAAATCATCCAAAATGGCTTCTTCGATAGCAACATGAATAATAACACCTGGTTCGCGGCGATCTCGAGGCAAACCAAGTCCAGTGTTAGCCAGTCTTCTATGTACTTCTTGGAAGTTACGGGCTGATGGAACAGGGCGTCGATTTGGAAATGCAGCTAGATAAGCTGTGCAAGCAGCTCTAGCACTCCCTCGGTACATTCCATAATAATAATGGATATCGGCAATGTGTGCCGGAGGGAAATCACTTATACGTGGCATCGCGACCAAAAAGCGAAAGCGTGATATAGTATGTAGCAAACGAAGCTGATAAAGTTGGCGGGAGAAACACAAATAGCTGCCTAACTGCCCAACATTCAATTGTTTTTCAACTGGGCCCGCCTCCCCACTCGTACTTCAGCCCGCGCGACTTTACATTGAATCACCAAAAAAAGGTATCTACATGATAAACAATGGTGCCTAGCAAGACGATGCGCATGGGCTTTTTTATAAACACTCATAGAAACTGTTACATTTGAGTAATGAACGTGCAATTTTTACTTTTATAAAGCTGATAACATGTAGAATAACTTACAAATAAAAAAAGGTAAGGTACAAGGGACGATATTTATAGAAAATTTGAAATTATTGTGAAAATGATGAAAAAAAAAAACAGATTTTCATCAAAACTTTCTTGGATGTCATTAACTTTCCTGGAATTCTTCACTTTTCAGGCACGTCCTTTTAC